TTTAAGTATAAGTAATATTTTAAAAAGAATCCTAAATCTGACTTTGAATTGAAACAATTTTTATAAAAAAATGAACAGAGCAACATGTTTGCGCAATGAGGTTTTATCAACTTTAAGTGCCCTTTTGAGCTTTATATATATAATAAATAATCAGTTGTAGTGTTAATAATGAAAAATGTACAGTCTACAACAAATTATAGTATTTTTAAAATAGAAGCATATATTTTACAAGCACAACTGTGTACAAACAGTACAAATGTATGCCGTGTCTTGCAGTAAACATGACGCACAGCCTGCAATATTTTTTTGAAAACTTACTTCTAGTAACCTCCATAGGTACTCATAACACTATCGTTAGTTGTTAAGTTATGTTAATTTATAAGTTGGTCGATACTGATAATTTCGGCTTATTAATAGTATGTAAGTTACATTGACAGCAATGAAACTTTTCGAAAAATTGTCAGATTGGTTCTGAACATGCTTGGGACATTCTTTATACATAACCACGATAATAAGCTGTACAGTCAAAAGCCAAAGAAATATCATAAACTATTTTTCTCAGATGTGGTTGAATTTTAAATTTTATTCGATATTCTGAGGATAGTTTTAGAACGTTTGATTTGAAAACCAAACTGGTTGTTGTTTCTTGTTTGTACCCACAAAAATACATTTTAACCAATAAAATATAAAAACATTTTTTCAGTTTCCGTTATAATTAATAATATACCTATGACCCATCACGGCAACGCCCAAACTTTTCTATTGTGCTGTCTTAATTTCCATTCAAGGACAGCGAAAACCAATAGCGCATATTATTATAAGTGCTAACAGATTTTATTAGAATCAGTTTTTTTGTATCACAGAGTCGGTTGTTATTCTAGTAATACTCATCAAGTAATCATGAACAGCTGCGACCAGTGATCTCCCGACCATAGTATTCACATTTAGTTTAAAGCTTTGTCTTTTTTGTTGTTCCAATACCTATGTTATTATACATCTGTGTAAATTTGTGCTTGGTCACATAAAAATCAACTTTATTTTTTACCAAAAAAAAAAAAGACTTGTTTTACTAAATCTAAGTATTTTTCTTCTTTTATTGTGTTAAAAACCGTGCAATAGACTAAATTACACGTATTTTTACCAAAAAAAAAAAAATGATTTGGAAAATTATATTTTTTTTTATGATCGTGTATGTTGATACAAAGCTAGTAAGAAATCCGAATACAGAAAAAACGGTAAATTACGCCTTAATGTTATATAAGACAACTAAAAATTAACGTGTATATTATATCCTATTAAAATATAATTAGCTATTTATGTGTGTTTCGCAATTTATAATATATGAATAGATGAAAAATGACTTAAATGTAGACTACAACACTAAGGATACTAGATAAAAGATAGCGATATGGACAAAATAAAAATGGGAAAATGTTTGAGAGGGAAGTCAGAAGGGATTCTTGACCGAAAGTCTAAAAATTAGTTCTTAATTTTAGTAAACTTCTATTAAATTAACGATACTTCTATATTTTTTTCTACTAACAAGCACACACAAAGTTAATATACATACGAATATTTATTACTTTAATTTAATATAGCTATTATTTATAGGAATGGAGTCAGAAGGGCCAAATGGAAGAACTGTACGACGAAGAATTCTTAAAAGCGCTAAGGTTTGTGTCAACTTTGGATCACATCGAAATCGTGCTCACTGACAAGGACATTAGTTTGCTTTCGTCTGAATGCAAAACTTTCAGAAAATGTTCAAAGAAAAAAGTTTCCGCCAAAAAATACCGTGCCATAATGGAAGCGGTCTTAAGCATTAACAGAGCATACATGGCAATCATTTTGGACACTATAATACATTTAATGAAGAGCGGGGAAAAGAGCTCGTTGGACATGCTAGTCAAACACTATTTATCGTATATGCCTCGCATGATATCCATGGCACATGTAGGCCAATGGGAAGCACCTAATTGGCAAATTGGTTTTTTTATGTTTCTCAATGATCTAGTTGCTATAGATTTACAATCATTCGAGTTTACTAGTGAATTTATAAAGAAATTTGAAGATTTATATTCTAAACTTTTGGAAATAACTACAGTAGATCCCCGTGATGATTATGACATTTTATGGATAATCGAAAACCTATACAACAACGATAAGCTACAATGCGCCTACAAGAACGCAAACCACATGACTGTACAAAATTTAATGTTGGTTCACTTGTACGGAAATCATGAAGAATTTACACAAAATTCAAAGCTAGAAATCGTTATGGACTGGGAAAGCGTCAATTCAGTATTCATCCAAATAGCCGATATAAATGACTTTGTGTTAAACGATAAAAGGTGGGGATTGTTTGTCACCGATTTTGTTAGGTATCATACATTGTTTTTAAATTGCGTTCAAGTAAGAATGGTATTCTACGCTTGGTTTCACGTAAATATGTCCTTAAAATTAATACCCAAGTATGCAAGTCCAATGTTTTGTTTTAAAAAACTATCACCAAAATTATATACAATTCGACAGCTCTTGAATGAATTTATAGATCACCTGAAATACATCATGCGGTTGTTTTCAATTAAAGATGGTATCCATTGGTACGCACTCCGTATTATGATGAAAAACACCAGGCGAATCAAGAAGATGGAGATTGTTAAGTTAGAGGTCATATTGAGAAATAAATTTCTAAAGATGGTGAAAAGTTTGGATCTCGGAGAAGAAAAATATATAGTCGAGCAATTGGAAAAATTGTCCGCTCCGAGACATCGCAATGACGTCCATACAACAATCATGAATAATACCTATCACCTAAGTAACTATATAAACGATTTACAAAACTTGTTAACGCCAACTGACACTTGGTTTGTTGGTTGTTTTTTTAAGAAAACTATATATTTTAATTTATCAGAAACAAAGTAGGTATTTGGAAATTTGACAGAAAATTTTACCTTATGGTCTGTAATATTACCTATATCATAATACATTACTAATTAACCGCAGTTATCATAATATTATATCAATAATCATACTTGAATACACGCATTATCTTAATTATTATATTTAACAAAACAATGCGGTACTCGTACATGGAATCTCAAAGGCAACGATATAGCATACACATATCGGTTCTAAAATTTCCCTGCAGGGTGAACACAGTTTAACACAAATATTTAGGCACACTCGTTTAAAAAAAGTGGGAAATCATCAAGTAGGGATCGCAGAGAAAATGTTTATTAAAAGGACAAAACACAAAGGCGCAGATGCCACTCCTTCAGTTACAACATCTCTTTCTCCTAATTTAAATACATGGCCAGCAATACCTACGGTTATTCTGTAGTAAACCATCTTTTTCTCTTCTATACTATAATTTTGCCTAACGATATTCAATCATTCGAGTACCATAACTTATATTTTAAATCAAAGCGTTTCTTTCTTTTATTTTCAAAAATCTTACAACGTAGTCATTATAGCACTTATTATATTTATAGCAAGCAGGCTCTTGCATAATATGTGATTTGTATAGCTCACACAGCTTGAATACTGTTGTCCATGACCAGCATAGAGTGATACATGCGTTACTAATTGCTCCAAGTCTTACGTTTTCTATTTATTCATCGATCTAGCGGTCACGCTTAAGATTTTTTTGTGGCCAAAATACAAAAACATCTTACTTAAATTTTCAGTATACATATAATTGTACCTTATAAAAAAAATCATTGTGGTTATATGGACCATAATACTATAAGTTATAACATATTCATTAATTATTCAACTTATTAATTAGTTAATTTAAAAGTTATGAAATTTAAATAAATTTGAATCAAACAATTTTTCATTTGAAGTTATTTCGTAATTTTATCAAAACTCTTAAGAATTCCTTATAGTTTAAAAATGTTGTAATTTATGTATGGTATTATTATACCGGCTGTCATAGGAAACAGTTTCATATATTAATTATTAACGTGTAAAGTTGTATGGTGTGGCATACAAATATAAATGCTGATGGTCGTTTTTAGATACTCTTCTAACAGAAGTACTATTTTTCTTTCTCTCTATTATGATTATTAAGAACCGAAATCCATTGGATATACTTAATTCTCGTTTTGTTCCTACATCATAACCTCCATCAATGGATTTATTTTATGCAAAGGCTTTTTATTCATGAATAAATCAATTAAAGTTCTACCGGAAACAATAAATATTTAAAATGTATAACCAAAAGTTTACTATTGACAGTTTTTAATTATGATAGAAAAAATTATATGGTTACTCTAAAGTCAGTCAAATTTTAAAGGAAGAAAGATTAGGTAAAATTAGTTTTTTTTTAATCGAATTAATCCATTCGATTAGTTTAAACTTCTAAATTAACTAATTAACTAAATAAAATGTTTAAAACGTTTCAAAACATGAGTAAATAATTACGGTACGTGATGTTCTATATTATTTAAAACATGACGTTATAATAATAATTAAGATTGTATACTAAAAATAAATTTTATTTATTCGTAGAGAAATTAACAATATGTATTAGCAATTATGGAGATAGAAACAACTAGAGTTTATAAAATAAAAACTAGAGAGCAGCGTTACAAACAGTGCTATTCTTTCATAAGATATAATAAGAATTCTAATAATTGTAATAGTAGTATTACGATTTAAATATTTATAGAAAAAAATCATGAGAAAACAACTTTTGTTTAGTGGATTATTTAAATGTAAAAGCCCGCGTGTACGTTTAAAAGAAAGTTTCTTCAAAACGGTCACACTGATTTTTACGGGCCAATCAGAGAGCGGTAATTCAATTACTTTATTCTAGAACAATCTTAAATCTTTTATCATTTAATCTGTGTAACTAAACAGTAAACACTAAACAGTTTCAATTAGATTTTCGTCTTATTTTGAATTTGTTCGTTGGTTCGTTTAATTAACCATTTAAAAAGTTGTAAAAGTGCTTAACTGTTTATAAAAGTGTTAAATTAAAAATTATAAAAAAAATTACACCTTAATAACTAAATAATTTTTGGTAGTTTATTGAAATAATCAACTGTAATAACAGGATTTTGGTTGAAATGTAATAAATACCATGGCCAGCCCGAGATCATTTTTACAAGAATGGTGTTCAAAAAAATCGCATTATGATCTAGTGAGCCAAAAGATTATTAGGTAAACATTGACACATTTCCTTCATTACTATTTTATGACAACAGCTCTCGTAGGCTTTGCTCATAGAGTAATAATATACTTAGTTTAGCTATTATTTGTTAATTTACTTATGTAGAAATTATGTTTTGTTTTAACCATTCTTGTACTTACTTGCCAATAACATTACTAATGATACTATGATAACTTACTATTAATATATAAATAACAAATAAATATATTAACATTTAAATCATGTTAGCCCTAATAGGTTTTTTACAGTTGATGAATGAGCTCGGTTTGATCACGTTAGGACAATAGCAGCTTGCAAAGCAGTATCAGGTTAGCTTTTTTATTCCTTTTAGGTAAAGTATTTATTTCTCTGGAGGTTTGGCGACGTAAGTTTGGTTAGATTTGACGATAGGGTAGCTGCAGGTCACTGCAAGTTGCGACTGAATAGTGAATGAACGCGACCGTTAATGCAACGAGTTTTCAGCTATAACTGAAGCTAAGTATGATCAGAAAAATTTGAAAACACCATCGTCTTCAGCGTAACAAAAACAATTAATATAAAAGAAATAAAAAAACAGTGGTTTAACAAAATTTGTTCCACTTTTTTAAAGTAATTTATTTAATTAAGCTAAAGATTAAAAACGTACACAGATTTTTGTACCAGGGAATGAACTGTCTTCGTCTATCGCTAAATAATATTATCCTTGTATCGATAGACGATGGTCTCAAAATAAATATAAGTAGCCTAATATGTTAGTATAAATACTAATACTAATACTTAGTAAAGGTTATGGTTTTGTTTTAATTACTCTTATAATTACTTCATCTTTTTGGCTTTGTCGCAATAAATATAGACTTCCCTTTCAAGTCTTTCATCACTTTATCTTTGGAATAATAATGAAGTAGTTTCCACATCACAGTATTATACCTATTAAATTCTCTTAAATCTTTGGCCAGAATAGTCTGTTAACAAGCAGATTAAAAAATTGCTTGGATTATGTATCAGAGAAAGATACTACTCAGTCTATCGCTAAGAAATATTATCTTTGTATCGATAGACGAGTTATAAAATAAAAAAAGCTAGTACAGTGGGGTCGGGACATAATGACGACGGAGCATATTGGGGAAGCGAGTTCACATGTTTATATTAATTATTACAATTGATAATGATAAAATAACTTTCAAACAATGATGTAGACTTTTTTTGTTTTTAAATAATATTTTTTTTACGCTACATATTATATACTTATTTAGAATTTATATTGTTTACTTAACTTAATTGGGAAAATATGTTAACTATTTACTTGAATGTCACCTTATTATATATTATCTATACCTATTGAACATTTCAGTTCTTTTCAGACTTTCTGTTCATTAAATAAATTAACGCTTTGATGCGAATCTGTAGAATGTAGTTGGTAAAAATATAAATATCGATAAAAGCATTGTAATGGCAATTATGTGCTTAAAATTGTATTTTTAGTATTAGGGTGGATACGATTATAGTAGGTCGTTAACTTTGTACTAAACCATTCAGAGCAGTAAGTTTTATCCTTAGTATTCAGTTCACCTAATTTTGCTAATTCCCTTAAAATGGTTTGAGAAAGTGGTTTATAGATATATCGGTTGACACAAATGTTGATTATCAATTTTTTCATATTTTGGTGTAATTATTGCTTAACTCAAAACTATTTGTTTCCTCCCCTAAGCTTATAATGTAATTTTTAATTTGGACTAGTGCTTCAATAGCTTGTGTATGAAATAGTTTGTAAACCTGTGCTAAAATAACATCTTTACCTGGAGTTTTAGAGACAAAATTATATTTTTAATTTCCTTAAAATTTGATTTTCTTAAAAATAGTGAATGATTTATGATTTATTATTATTACTATTATTATTATTATTTTATATCATCAGTTATCATGTTAATATATTCAGTAAAATTATATTTTGGCATATACTCTGACAAATAACCGAAAAAAGCGTTATTTACTTAGTGTTACCAAAAAAGCGTGGGAATGGGGAAGGAATAGGGTTTTGATTGAAGATAGGGGTAGGAGATATGAGATAGGGGGCGAAATATATTTGGTACTTCAACGAGACATGAAAATGCTCTTTCGTGGTTGCAGCCTGGCTGAAAAATGTTTTTGATTGACTTCTAAACGATAGGAACTCATGATTTTTTTATAGTATTAATCTGCTTATTTATGTAACTTTTAATAGTTTTTTTTCTATAATAATTAGAAAATTATGAATTGTGCTCTTTTAGGAAATACGCCTACTATTTTGTTGCAAACCTTAACGAGTTAAACACCAGAAAAATCAGTGTATCAGGGTTAGTATGTTAGGTGTAGTGTATAGTGTAGTGTATCTATCGGAAGAAAAGATTCCAAACTTAAAAACATCTGAAGTAACCAAGGTCAAAAGGTTGAATAGGTTAAGTTAGTATGGTGTATTAATTTTGTATCAATAATTGTAACTAGTAATGTAAAATATTTAAATTTCACGGATGCATTACTATAAGTTAATACTTTTTGAATTTTGCAGGAAGTTCAGATGTAAATGCTGTTGTGTTGTACATGAAAATTGATCAATCGATTGGCACAGTTTAATGGGAAAGTATGTAAAAGGAGTTGTAAAGTAGTTGTCTTGCTTCTGGTATATTAAACAACTGTTATGATTTTTGCTAATAATATTATTTTAGTTGTTTCTGAAATGTTAATATATGTGGCTAAACTTTGAAAAAATATGGTATTTTCATAGTCTTAATTATGCTAGACTTTACTGCTCGCACGTGTGGTTGAAAATTGAACCATATTCAATTATTAGGGTAAGATGTTACAAGTATAACAATTATTTATAATTGTTATATTTTGATTTTGTACTCATGTAGCAGGTCTATAGATCAGAAATCGTACTTAATAGGTTCTATATTAGGCTATAAATTTTAAAAAGTTCAACCCTTATCCTTGAAAATTGAGAAAAACACCAATGAAATGTACATATTTTTCAGTTCAAAATTACAGCGCTTTAGGATAATTTTTTAATGGCCAAATTAGCTTTAATTTTTTAGAATATTCTTATAAAGTACTATCGATAAATGTTGATCAACAAGAAAAATATCATAAAGCATTTTCCCTAGAAGAGGTGGAAACTTTTTCTTTATATTAGATTTTTTAGTATAGATTTTTAGTAAAATTAAATTATAGGTAGATTTAGAATGGGGCTATAACTTATAAGGCTTTCTTTGTTTTTTTTTGATAAAGAAGAAACCTACAACTCAATCTATTGCTAAGAAATATTACACTTGTATCGATAGACGAGTTATAAAATTAAAAATAGCCAGTATAGTGGGGTTAAGGCATATTAAGATCATTTACCATCAGTTATTTACAGTTTATAAGTTATTTTTATTTTTGTCGCATTTTTTGTTTAACTATAGAAATATCGACACAACAATAGCAACTTCAAAAAATACATTTATCAATATTATTCTGTCATCTACAGCTTTATATCAAAGTGCTTGTTTGTAAATTATTTTATCACTTTCAGTTATAATAATTCCTAAAAAAACTAATAATCTGGAAATCTCTATTATGTATTATTACAAATATGCTACAATAATGCACCTGAACTAAGAAACGGCTAAAGATCATTTTGAAAACATAAATATTCCTCTTGTGGTCTAAAAAAAACTATTGGAAGAGTGTAACGCGTTACCAGTGTGTGCTAAAAAATACATAATATTGAATACTAAAAAAAAAATTATTTTATCGTTACTATACAAGGAATTACAGGTTGTGGAAGAACTCCCATGTAAAAAATTATTCTGTTATAGGTTCATCACTATGGTATTTTAGAACAAGAGGACCAATCGTCGGTTATACACTCACAGATTTTACACATTGCACTTTGTAAAAGAAACTAAGAGTTGTCAGGGTGCATGTGTAAGTTTGTATGCATGTAACCGAAAAATCATCAAATTCTGTTGCAGACCGCTTGGCTGCTAATAGAATAAACAATTTAAGATATTATTGTATATGGTGTTCTGTAGTCCAGTCAATGACATGTGGCAGATATGGAAAATCTTATTCAGTTTTCACCTTTTTTTTATTAATATTATTACAACTACTAAGACATAAATCGTAATTATTGTATCTATTGAACAGATATGTATATAGCTGTGATCTATTAACAATGATTCATTTTATTCATTATCGTTACAATAAACTGTATGTCTTAACCTTTCCTGTCTAACAGGACTTGATACATAATATACCTTGTCAGACAGGAAAGATTTAATTTGTTGTCCAAAATTACGTATAAGCTGTAAAGTTTATAACAAACATTACATAAAATTTGATATTACGCTTTAATACTGTAATTGTTAGCTGGAATTTTTTGAGCCCATTTGGTGTAGCTTTTTGTGGTTTTTGTTAAATCATAAATAAGTGAAATTATTATCGTTAAGCGTTTTATTTCATACTAGTACTATCTGACAAATTTGAAATAATTTTTTAGCAATATTTTGATAGTACATAATTTTTATAATGTCTAAACCTTAAAGAACCCTAATCATTAAATACATCATGATACTAATTGGCATTTATAAAAACTGTTCCCATATTATTAATAATATTAAATAGCGAGTAATTATTTTATTCGTGTATACATTTTTAAAATTGTAAAGCAACTGTTTGTTATCAATATTCCTTATCTCTCTTAATTGTCTTATCTTTTATCAGTCACAAAATGTCACATGGCCCTTCGCATTATTTAACAACTTAACAATTTTGAGTTTTGACTTTTACAATTTACATTTTTCGAATATTAGTTTATTTATTTGCTCTCGAACCAAAAAAAAAAACGTCAATTTAAAATGTTATGATTTAAATCATTGGTTTTTTTCATTAATACTTAAAACGTAAGCAAACCCTTTTTCTATTGTTCAGTAAACTTTAATCAGAACACGACCTATAAATTAAGTACAATAAAAAATGTTTCCATTAAAATTAATATACCTGTAATTGTGTTGAACTCACTTATAGTTACGATTTCCTATGCTTAATGTCGTTTTAACAAATGTGTTTAATTAAATTCTCCAGGTGGTTTTGGATGTTGTGGTGTCAATTTAAAATCGCCTTGAGAGAAATCGTAAGTGCTTCTACTCTTAAAAGAAGTATGGAAAATCTAGTGAAAAACGCTTTACCGCTCGGTATTAAAGTAAAGCATATCAGTGTGCAGTGCACGATTGTGGCGGCTGAAGCAGATTCCGATAACGCTGCGTGCAATACTTCTTTGGGCGACGACGAAAATAACGACCTTGCAGATTTGTCAACTGGCAAGCGTAAGATTTCCAACTCTCTGGAATCTAGTAAAAAACACAAAAAACCGAAATTAAACCCTAAACAAGCACGACAGGGTATCTTGAATTACAACGAAACGTCATACTACTTTGAAAATGGCCTGAGAAAAGTCTATCCGTACTACTTCACCTTCACCACTCACACTAAAGCCAGATGGGTAGGCAGAACTCTGCTCGAAGTGTTTGGTAACGAATTCCGTGCACATTCTTCCGAAGAGTATGAAGATCACATTAAAAAAGGATCGCTGACCATAAATAACGAACGGGTAAGTACCGATTATGTGTTGAAACACAATGATTTGTTATCCAACATTGTCCATAGGCATGAAGTGCCGGTTACGAGCGATCCAATCGATATAATTTATTTAGATAAAAACATTGTCGTCGTCAACAAACCCGCTAGTGTGCCCGTTCATCCCTGCGGACGTTACAGACACAACACGATGGTATTTTTGCTGGCCAAAGAACACAATTTAAAAGACTTGAAAACCATCCACCGCCTCGACAGGTTGACCAGCGGCGTATTGATGTTTGGCAGAACCCAAAGTATGGCACAAAAACTCGAAGAGCAAATACGCAACAGAGTGGTCGAAAAGCAGTACGTCTGTCGAGTGGAAGGTGAATTTCCCGAATCTGTCGAATGCGAAGAACCCATCGAAGTGGTTAGCTATAAAATTGGCGTGTGCAAAGTGTCTCCAAAGGGAAAAGTTTGTTCCACGTCTTTCAAACTGATTGGCTATAATAAAGAATCCAACACGAGCATTGTAAAGTGTTCGCCGCATTCTGGACGTATGCACCAGATCAGAGTACATTTGCAGTACTTAGGATATCCGATTAAAAACGACCCGTTGTACAACGACACAATATTTGGTCCAGAAAAAGGGCGTGGTGGTGATTTTGGCAAAACCGACGAGCAGCTCATCAAAGAGTTGATATTCACGCACAACGCTGAGAATTGGTCAGAAAACGAGAAGGACTCTCTTTCATTATCTACCAATGACAATTCAATTAAGCCAGACTTGGTTACGTCCAACACCGACAGAAAACAAGAGCTAGACCCGTGTCGCACACGAGACGTATGCACACAGACTGATTATGAACCACCAGATTCGACATTTGATCCGATCAAACTGTCTGTCGATCCGTATTGCAAAGAATGCAAAACCCGCTACCGAGATCCAAAACCCAAAGACCTTATTATGTATTTACACGCTTATCAGTACAGCGGCCCCGACTGGAAATATGAGACGGTAATGCCTGCTTGGGCTGATGTTAACTGGAAGGAACCATGTTAGAAAAAAAAAGTACACTTTTTTGTAATTTTTGTTATTGGTATTTTTTTTTTATTATAATTGTTAACTAGTATAATATTATGACTCCAACGGTTTTTTCTTGCATTCGATTTTAATTATTTAATTTGGTAAACTTGTTTGTACGTTATGTTTGCAATAAGACCCAGTGAAACCTTTGAGGTTGCCTCCGTCTAGAGATATGCCTGTGTTGACAATTTTTTAACTAACCACCGTCTTATTCATATGCTTGTCCGTTGTAAAGATTCTTCGAGACAATAGTTAATAGTAAATAAAAAAAAAAACGATACATTATTCTTTTGCTATGAATGCTAATTATTTTATAGCAATTGAATGGCAGTCAAACACTTGACAAAGCCAGCAGGTATACTCACATTCAAATAAACCCTTTGATAGGGAAATGTAGCCAGCAAAAACTATTTTTTAGACAATAAATATATTAATTACCAGACCTTTTCTTTTTAATTTAAGGTCCAAGTTATGTAACGATAAATCCCTTTAGTGCGATTCATTTTAGTCCTAAATTTTGATTAGTTTGCTGCAGATAGTAAATATTTCACAGAATAGTTTGAGCGATAAATGACTGTTTTTATTAAACATTTCTAATAGTAATAATAATAATAGAGTGGAATTTTTTATAATATACGAAATTTTAAAAATATGTAAAAAAATAATTATACTAGTAATAAAAAAATCATCAAGTCATGATAAAACTAACACATAACAGAAAACATCACATAGAACAAATCTAATTGTAAAATATTTAACTAATATAATTATTGCACTATAATTAATATAATAGAAATAATATACAAATTAGTTATTTAAATTACATTCGCCAACGTATTAAAATTATTACATAAATATAATAACCAAAATTTATGAAGATTTCTTCTTTTTTTTTAACACATAAATAAAAATAACGCACACAACCTTTTTACAATTAAAATTACAAAGAATTTATTACAGTTTTTAAAAGGAATTATCAGTGTTACATTATTATAAAAAAACAAGAACAAAATTTGTTTATTGAGATGACGCTTTATTTAATGACTGATCAATAAATTTCCTAAAACAAAAATACACAATTAATAAGTACAAATAAATTTTAATAATAAATATATATTATAAAAAAAAAGTTTTTGGGGTTTTTAATTAATTAGTTTGAATGTTTTTTTGGAAATTTTGTAAAAAAAAAAAAAATACTGTTTAGTTAACAGATGGCCAATATTATTTAGTTAGAACACCAGATGACAAGAAGAAAATGATTTTACAATTTTTTTTGTGCTCAACAAAAAACTTGAGAGAAAAAGTAATAATAAAATATCCAAAAAGAATAATTAAAAGAAATCATTTAATTGAAATATTATAAATTAATTTTAATTTATTTATTTAATTAAGTTAAATAAATATAAACATTTATTTAACGACTTAATTTTTTAGCAATTTTGTTGTAATAAAAACCAGAACATTATCAAAAGAAGTACCTAAGTAAATTATTTAAGACAGTAAGTAAAATTGTATACTTATGAAAATGCATTTTAATTAATTAATCATTTGTTGTTGTTTAAATACAAGTTGATAAAAAAATTCTTTGGTAACGTATTACCTAAATAAGAATTCAATTACCGAATAGTTTTTAATTTAAATACAAATGGAAATAATTAAAGACCATAACATTAAATGGATTTGAGTAATAAATCAACTTCATTTTTGAAGTTTTATTTTAAAAAGGCAAATGAAAAAGCATAGCGAAGTTTAAAGTAATAAATTATTTCAAATGTAAAAAAAAAAAAAATATATATAGTAATTAAGAATTTTTTTCAATAAGTAATAACTATTTTTTGATGCACTAAATAAAAATGTATTCTAAATAATTCATGATTTGTTAATTATTGTTTGTTATTTAAATAGATATGCCTAGGCTATGTGAAGGCTAAATTTATTTACTTTGAAAAGTTAACGTAACCTAATGTGGGGGCAAAGACCCGAAGGGACTTTTTACCTCCGTACTGTATAGGAAACAACGGGTAATTTTCTTAATTATTTATTTTATTTTAACGACAGATGGAATAAATAAATTATTTTAATTTTCAGTTTTATAACGTACCTGACTTTATTTCCCAAATCTTTATCTCTGCATATGAGCTTGTGTCCAAATTTGAGTTCGGCATCGTATAACTGTAGTTCATTGGTGGCGTTGCTTCTAGATTGCATGAGACTATTGTACAGCTGCAATGCGATCAAACAATTATTGTAATATTTAAATATTACATTTTAATATTTTTTTTTTTGTAGCTTTCAGAAAAAATACCTTTTGCCCTAGTGTGTAAGGTATCACAATATCATCACGTGCGTGCAATATCAGAACAGGCATTTTAGTAGTTTTCAAGTTTTCTTCGTTATCGAACACGATGCCGTTTTCTCCGACAGGATCGATTATGAAAAATTCGAACCACGGTAAGAGACGATGAAACTGTAAACAACAAACAAATTTTAATAACGTCCTATAGGAAAAAAACCAATGTAAGTAATTAGACTCTCACTTTGGTAAGCGGATACTCTCGAATTTCTTCACTTATTTTAGTGAACGGCGCTTCCAATATGAGACCATTCGAATACAACCCTTCTTTCTCTAGCAACGAAAAAGCGTGAGAACTTATGCTACGGAAAGACAAAAAAAAAATAAGTTATTTAAAACGGAACAACTATAAAACAATGTTTAAGTAGAAGCAAAAAACCAGAGCACCTATTTTAATATTATAATATTTATTTATTTATAACAGACTTCAATATAATATGTATATTATAGATTGTATAAAATTGAATAAAATATTATTATCAAAGCGATAAATTTCTAATTTATCCGTTATAACAATAAAATAAACAAGTGAGAAGTGATATTATTTTATTTTTAAAATTAAATATAAAGTAATAGTTTCCGAGACGGCAATTTTTGTTAACTGATTTAAAAACATGTTTTTGAATTTTCAATAAAAAAAATTTACCCAAACACAGGTTTTAGTAATTTTTTTGCTTTTTGTAAAACGTTTAGTTGGTCGTTTTAAAACTGAGTGAAACTTGTTTCAAACATGTCTTACAATGATTAAAAATAATACACAAAATAGGTGCTTTGTTTGATATTTTCTGATATATAAAATTATGTATCTTATCAAAATGTTTACCCAGTGCCTAAGGAATGACCCCAACCAAAAATCGGTGAGCCGTTAGCGCGACTATGAATCCATCTGAATACTTCCATGACGTCGGTAACGACACCGGCTTCACTAATGGTAACGTCAGTGGAATCGGCATAACCTTTAAAAGAAAAACAAACGCAAGCATTAACACAAATTTCAGTGGCTGCTATACCAGTGGGTCACAATACTTCTATAATCTACGGCTATAACGTGGCAGTTGACATTTCTCAGTACACCGTACAGCTGGACCCGATGTTCGTTCGCTCGTGTACCCGAGTTGCCGTGCATGTATAAGATGATCGGTTCACCGTGCCCTAAGAGTTGTTCGTAGCTGTCTTCGTCTTGTTCGTACTTCTCCAACAGTTTCGTGGGCAGCACGTGCCTTAAACAGACCATTTAACAACATTATTGACACCAGTGTTTGGAATTTAAAAATATTAAAACATTTTTTAATTCTCTTTACTCACCAGAGTCCTAAAGTCATGTTATCTGTAGTTTTAATGTAGAAGTTTCGAGTTCCTCGGAGACCGTAGTGCTCGGGATCACTATAGTTGACGTTAGGTGGCAAACGCACTGAAATTCAGGAAAACGTTTATTCAATTGACCATAACATGTATAATAATATTTTCAGTAATACAGTAATAATTATGGTTTACCTCCCGGCAAAGATTTATAATAACGTAACATATATTGAAAACAAATTAATTAGATAGTCAAATATTATTTTTATATATTATATTTGTTCGTATGTTGAATAAAATAAAATATATACAAAATAATTAAATAAATATACACGTGTATGTTGATCAGTGATCTTATTTATTAAACCTAATTTTGTTATTAAATTTTGATTTTTTATAATTCGCATTTAATAGAATGCGAGTTGTAGAATTACTTTTTTTTATTTATATACTTTAAAGGATAATTTTTTAGCATCTAAATTTTTTAATATTGTAAATGATAAAATGTTTATGTTTTTTTTTAAACATAAACTTTATACAGGGTGTTCAAAAAGTTCGAAAACGGTCAATTTTTAGAGGCGTTATTGATTTTTTTTTCAAATTTTGACTTTTGGATGTTGGTAGGTGTTATTATATGCACATTTAAGGCTTAAATCCAAAATCTTACCTTAAGTAGTTTGCGCATGCGTGGTATCAACTTTTGAAATTTAAATCAAATTTTTTTAGATATTCTGTTAGATTATTAATTTTAAATCATAGTTCAGATATTAAATTACACATCTGATACAAGCCACATCAAATTATCTGACTTGTACATACTTTAAAATTCTTTTGAATTGAGCACTAACATGAACTTTAAATAGCAATAACTTTTGAACTGTATGATATTAAAAAGTGTTTTTAACATTTTTTACTTTTAAATATTAATTGCTAACAGAATATTTAAAATATATGGGGGTTCCCATTTAAATTTCAAAAGTTGATGCCACGCATGCGCAAACTACTTAAGGTAAGATTTTGGATTTCTGCCTTAAATGTGCATAAAATAACATCTACCAACATCCAATGGATTCAAAATTTTAAAAAACCAATAACAGCTCTAAAAATTGACCGTTTTTTAACTTTTTGAACACCCTGTATTTAACATTTAAACAAAAACTATAAGAATTAATTTTTTTAATTTTTAACAAAAATGTATACTTAAAAAATCATACAATAGTACAGATTATTGTAAGGTTAAACCAACGCGCGTCATTCTATTTGTCAAATCAACACAACAATCCCCATTTACGTTTTAAAATTATAAAAACATAATTATTGAAAATCAACCAAAATCATTAATGTAATACAACAAGTGTCTTAGCACATAATCTGTAGTGAAACTTTTTTTTTTTTAAAGGAAAAACCCAAAAAAGGGAGGAAATTACTTTTTGGCTGTTGTAAATTTCTAGGTTTCTATATGTGTGTTAAACAAACCTCCTTAAAAACAGACCGCATGCAATCATTTTAATGATAATTAAATAAGTGTTGTGTTGATTTCAGGTGTAACAAATATATAAATCAAGTGTAATAGGCCGCCGTCTTTGATCATCTATCCGGCGGCAGTTTAACTGACTGAATAAGCAACGATAATTTTCAAAAAATTTACCATAATTCAAAAATATCATTCCCCTCTGGAGTGCGGGCGAATAACGGAACACCACTGGTATGACTACAAATATGAGCAGCAGTAGTATGCCCACAAAACTGGTCGTTATGTAGCATGACCTGAGAGCATAAAAAACAAAAATTAATAATCACATTTTAATTTAACACGCGACACGATAATAAAATTATTATTATTATTAAAAATATTACAACACAAATGATTGATGATCGGTTTATGATTAACAAAAAAAACATGTTCATTACACGACGTGCATGGAGGAAAATATGTACAGACATAATGTAAGTGTGTGTTGTAAGTGTCGAAAAACTGGTCCAAATTTTGGGTCAATTTTGATCCAAATCACCAAGTTTTTTGACCCGGTTTTTATACCATCCCCCTCCCCTTTTAAACGAACACACATAGTATATTATAACACTAACGATAATTGATAATGTTAAAAAAACTATACACGACACAGGCGTTTTGTTTAGTGTGTGCTTTGGAGCTAAAAGGAAAAAAAATAATAACCCTATACAAACAGATGACCCGTGTGGACGAATAAATTAAATAATAGATAATTGTCACTGGGTCATTTTTTCTATTCACCATAGACAACAACAAAAGCTACTGGAAACGTTAATCAGCAAAAAAATGTAAAAACGATTTGTCAAAACTACAAAAGTCGTCGATTAATAGGACTTATATTCTGATAGGTTAACCGAGTACAACCAAGTAAACTTGTAGAAAATAACAAAAAAAATATATTAAACACATTTTAATGTCGAGTTATGCGCACTTTTTTACAGATATGAGATATTGTTCCTGGAACTAAATATCATTTAGTTCGTTCCACGAACATATCTTACAATTTTTTTCATGGACTTTTTTAACGAGTTCAAAATCAGTTTAGCCATTCAGAATGCTGTTAATCGTATCAATCAAAAATAGCTTTAATGAAAAAGATTGTAAATTCCGACTTGATACGGTTGTCGTTTGGCGAATAAAATAACATTATAGTTTATTTATTATTTATAAATTCATTCATCATGTTAACCTTACTAACCTTAGGTACCTATATATTTTTTAAGTTTGATAATTTAAAAATTGTATCTATTATTATTATTATTTACTACTTAGACAATTATGCACTTTTTTTAGTTATCGCTTCAGCGATATAAAAACGAGCAGGGAAACAGAGTTTTTTTTGCAAACTATTTTTTTTTTTTTAATTTTTTAGCATCTTAACTACAGTATTCTATTAGGTCCCTTCTCCAATGTATTAACGTTCTGTAAAGGACTAAAAAAAAAATTAACTATGTAAAACCCGACCTACAGGACGTGTAGGTAATAAATTAATTTATTACCATTGTACGAACATTGTCCGGCTACTTCACTAGTAGGTCAATTACCAAGTCAATCTACACTCTAAAAAAAACTACTTTTAGATGTTAAAATATTATCATTAGTTAATTTGTAATCGATTTTATGTACTAAAAATCGACGACTGTCAAACCAGTGAACAAGAATAGATATAAAAATAAGTTAATAAATAGTGTATCGGGCAACAGTTTGAAGCATAATATTGAGTAGTTATTAATTAGATTATTCTTCACTTTATCCAATACAAATGAGTCGACCAGCCGCTATCAATCACCATTTATTTTATTTTTTTGGCAAGCCCCAGCTTCTTCTTCGGTGTACCTATCTTAATTTCCCTTACAAAAATCTATCGCCCCTATTGAATTATTATGGAATCCATTTATGAATCAGACAATTGGTTTTGCACATTTTGAAAAAAAACATGTAGCTTTTTGGTTAGAACTCGTCAAGTTTAAATAACGACTAATTTGATAGATTTGGCCAAACTATAATTAGTCGTGTTAATTATTATTATTATTAAGTTAAATGTTTTATCACACGTAGACCACTACCAACTATTTTGCAAACAATCCCACCATATAGAACGTTTTTTTTTTATGGTTTTGCTAATAATAATAATGACCATGTTTGAAATGTATACTTTTTGGGTCGTGCTGAATAATATCAACAAGTACTTTGAACCCGAAAATTTAATATGGTACAATTGCATTTTTGTTTTAATTATGAAGAGATAACGTGTGTCGAGAGTTATGTAATAGTTTTGTTTACAATATTTTGTTTGTACCTAACTAAATAATACCTCAAACATAGTACATTTCACACACAATGTAATATTATGATATATTATTTATCTGCGATTCAATTTAATATCGTGTCCCTATAGTAGTTAGTGACCTCTATAAATGGTAATATTATTTTATGAAATTGCACAAAAAATATAATATTATATACAACCAAACTTGACTACATTAAGCTGAAAGCGTATCGTGCAAATCTAACGTTATTAAGCGCAAGTCATAAAAGTGTTAAAACAAGTACATCGAAAGGGGAGAACCTGGATAGCAAAGCATAAAATAAAAGTAAATTTTGAGCACATTTTTCAACAAAAAAAACATTTGATTTTCAACTATCCAAAAACCATTTTCGACTATGTAAACCAGGTTTCCGCCTTGATAAGCATAACGACAATATGGAACAATACACGCTAAGTGAGAGGCGGATTGAAGCGTCTGGGACTAATATTTATATTACATCCTATTTATATTTACACCTCAAACATTTTTTTATTTGCTCTCAGTCCGCCTCTTGGTTTTTTTTTTATAGACAATACAAACACAAACAAACGGCATTACATAATATTATTATGAACACAAAAACAATGATTTTTTTTTCTCCTATTCCACACGAGCATCGCGTGGGATCCGCCGATAGTGTACACACAGCAGCTGCTTAGCGTTGTTAATTAATTAATAATGATCAGTGAGATGGGCGAGGATGACGTATGACGTGCTGATGGCCATACGTGAAAGGTTTTAATAAATGTTTTAAAGATGGATTACTTACGCAAAATAACAAATTAACGCGATTATCGTCACAGGTTTCAGAAATGAAATCAACAACATGCACGATGCCATTACTCGGATATATGTAGATATATATATATGTAGGTAGGTATGTGTATTTTTTTTTTTCACAGCACGATGAACCTAAAAAAACGGGTGCTTGCAACAATATATTTAGAGTACAACGACAACGACAATCCTGTAACATAATATGGAATTCCATTCCAGTCAAAACGAGTTTCAACAAACAAACAAAATTACAGTCGGCAAGTCTAACAATGTTTTGACTTCGCCACAAGCATGTACAAACATTACTTTCCGTTATTTAAGTATTGTAAATGACACGGTGATATCACGTTTTTGTGAAATAATTTCCAAAATATAGGGTGGTTCAACAATTTTGCAATTTGTTGGTTTTTATTTTTTTAAAACACTGGTTTATGTTTTATTTTACAATAATCTAAAACCACCTTACTATCATCTTTCTAATATTTGCCTTTCTTAGTATTTTCTAGACCCCTGACAGCTTTTATTCTATTGACTTAAATAGCAACGTACGTGATAATATAATTTAATTTTCATATCAGTTAAGAACAATTTTCTGGAGATTTTGACTGTTCTATAACCAGTTGTGGATGATTACTTTTAAAGTTAGTCAAGTTTAAAATTTAGGACAGTATGGCAATTATTTTAAGAGAAAATGAATGTCTTATCATTAACGAATCACGCTATATATTTTGATAATTATAACAAAACAACATAACATCGCTATGTCGTTTACTCAGTGTGAAAATCGTACATACTATTATAATATAATTAAATATTTTTAAAATTATGATAACTACATAAAAAGTTGACATACCGTATATTACGATAGTATTATTGAATTTCGCTTACAGTAAAATAATATTACTTATTTAACTGAAATTACCAAAGTGGTTACAACAAACAACAATTATTCTCATCGTCGTTTCGATTAAGAAACTAATTGGTAAATGGGACGTAACAAGTTAAACGTTTATAGATGCCAATAAAAAAAATGTATAAACAGATGGCAACCGCACAACTGTCTACAATTTTTCATTCTTGACCTTAGTAGTATATACTACTGACCTCCATTTTAGAATATTATTGCATAATAATTTCCACCATTTGACTTCATTTTTACCCATAGACAACTAATGATTTTCTTTTGTATCGCAACGTGTTAATTTATACATAACAAACTACGGTCGGTTATCTCCAAAAAGGAATGTTATAATATTCATAAATAGTAATCCTGATTAACGACCTATTAATACTTGTATACGGTTGAATTTGGCACGGTTTTGGATCAACACAAACCGTAAGATGTTTACCTATGATTGGCAACACTCCACAAAGTTTGTTAACATTTCAGTTATTAATAATAAACGGATAGGTTTAAATTTATTGGCAACTAGAGATTTCAAGTTGATACCTATGCATATTTAAAGGTGATTGTAAAAAATAGGACGGTTTAAATGTGTCGAAAAAATTCTAACATTGTTTTAATTCGACGAAGAAAAAAATTAACAGAAACACCAAAAAATAATAATTTAACTACTATAAATGTAAAATAAATGAGTGACTGTAGAAAAATTACATTTTGAAATGAATGCACATTTTTCTTATTTTATTTTTATTAGAAGTAAACAAGTACCTATTGAAAAATACTGCGAAAATAATCCAATTGTATCGCTAAAAACAAAAAAAATGTCACCATAAAAAAGATTTCTCTGGACTTCTAGGTATAACCGTAATCAATTACTGTTACCTATATTGTTCCCTAATCTATTGATAATAATTTATATTTTATTTTTACAATTTATTAACTAATAAAAACACACCGTATACAAAATAATTATTAAACTTTAATACTTTCCCGAGCTTCTAATGATTTTGGTAAATTTAAACATTTTAATTAAAATCCCAAAATTGTTGGGTAATAATATAAAATTAACGTCATGTCCGGTTAATCAGTTTCACGTATAATACTATCGGTTAAATACATGATTTCTATTTCCTGTCCATCAAGGTTTCGGTCATGACAGATTTTACCGTGAATCATCAATTAAATTATACTGGTTAAAATAAAAATCATAAAAACACCAACAACATTTCCCGAGTAGCGAAGAAATTATTTGAAAAATGTATGTCAAACGTTATATTATGTTGTAGTTGTAAGTCATGTTAAATAAACTATTTTAAAAACAACATTAAATATTTTATGTGTAGGTAACGTTTATAAATACGTTGGTTAATCGGTTAATGCAATCTTTCAATGACATAAAACGTTTTTAAAATAAATTTATAAAAATGTATGCATAAAATATTAAAACATTTTCTTTGCTACTTAGGATGGTAAGAAGAGTACGGTCTGTCTATTGTTTTATTTACAAACAAAAACAACTGTTGCCGTTGTAAATGTGAGCATGTAATATTATCGTTAAAAAAAAAAATATACATACAATACGTGACCCACGCCAAATATTCTGTTAACGTTTATTTAATAAAAATTAGTAAACATTTGCAAAACCACCAAGCACAGCTGTGATTCCCAATTGTGATAAAGAGAGTAATGCAATAATTGTGTTCTTCGACACCGTTTACAATCTTTTAAATATATTATGCAATAGAAAACAAATATTAGTTTACTTGTGTGCTAAACTAAACATAGGCAATGTGTATTATATTATTTATTATCAAGAAAAAAAGTTAGGTACCTATCGTAGTTCGTAACTAAGCAAAGTGAACGTTTTGCTTTTTAACTACAAAGATAATATTATTAATTATAAACACTTATTAAGATGTTTTTATAAAAGTTTAAATACATCTTAAGAACATTTACAATCTATCGTTCGTACTTATTGTTTATAAGGAATTTATATGTTCCTATCTAATATGAAAAAACTGTTTTAAACTTTCAGAAAAACATATTATTTCAGTGACAAAGACAAACTAGGTTTGACTAGGGCTCGGAAGTCGGTAAATTTGATATAGTTTTTTACAAAATTCTAACAAAAACTGGGAGTTGAAGACCAAAAATCCGTTTAAGAGAAAAAAAAAAGATTTTAAAATTGTAGTTTTACATTAAAATCAATACATTCCACATCCGCCACTCCATAACATTTATTCTATTTATTAAAAAAATTTTTAATATTTTTCGACTAAATAAACAAAATATAATTTTCAAATACCATTTTGAAGGTTTTTTGGGACAACAACTTCCGAGTCATAGAATTTTTACCTAAACTCCATCGTGCATAATTTCTGTGCAACTTTTTGTGCCACTGAATAAGTTTTTTGAATAGTTATTCAAAAACTCGTGAACAATAATGGAGAATTAAATTTTAAAAAACCCATATTTTTTTAAGAAAATATTTAATTAGGTCTCACGTGATAGTTTTGATTTAAATATTTTCTTACTCTATTGTGTAAAAATTAGATAAGTGTGTGCTAGTTGTAAAGTTATATCACACTAAAACCTGCTATTTTCTTTTACAAATATTATTAACGAACAATTTTTGTTAAAAATAACTTTAACCTCAAGTTATATAAAACTTTTTCAAGTGGATATATAAATATAAAAACATATTTTAATGCCTTCTGGTTTCGCCTAAGCAGATTTGATATTAACTTGTAACTTCGACCAAAACATTATCATTAGCAATAGACCAAACATTTTTAAAAAAAGTCCCCCAATTTTTTAAGTGAGCAATTATAAATATAAAGAATAAGTATTTTAATAAACCGCGTTTTAAAATTAAGTTCATATAATTATTTTTATGAAAAAACTTTTATGCATATCCGAGTGAAGTTCTAACCGATTAAACTAGAAAACTTGAGTGGGCTTTGACACTTATTTTTAACATTTTTTTAATATAAAATAAACATTTCTGAATTCGATTAAGTCAGAATTTTAATAAATATTTTAGGTAAAAATTAGCCTTGCATTCTAAACTATGTTTAAGGAAAAATAATTTTTTCAAACATTAATAAGAAAAACAATTTTATTTAGTCATGTCACTCGCTACATTTGCTAATCAAAACAATCAACATAAAATATGGCGAAAGCATGCTTTAAGCATACGTATCTACTATATAAATGACACTTTGTCGAGGTCAAAAATAAGAACAAAAAGTAATATAATTACTTGATTAATAGATTAATTGATTAATAGAAATCAATTGTTATTATAAAATTCATAATAATTAAAAACACGTACCGTTTCAAACAGCCTTTACAGGACATCTTCTAAAATATGGGTATCTAAAAAGATCAAAAATAAATAATTAATTACATTATTGGTTACCAAGTTGGGAGGGGGTGGAAACAAAAAAAGTGGTTGAGATCACATTCTATAAAAATAATATTAAAAAAAAAACATTTTAATTTCTTATTAAACCCTATGCTGTACAAGATATTGAGTGGCCCATGTTAAAAAAATCACCCTATATTGTGTACGATTACGGTGTGATCGATTTAACGTAAGCCATTGAGGGTTTCTCTTGGACGACAGATTTGTGTTATTTTCCAAATGTTATTCAATTTTTTGAATTTATGAAAAATACTGAAATCGTTCAATGACCACTTTTGAGTTAATTTAAAAGTTATCAGCGTTGAAAAGTGTAGACGAAGAGATATAGAGGTTGCGCACACCATTTGGCCGTCATACTTTTCTCGCCTTGCCTTTAAAATTCTAATGGTCCTTCTCGCCAGTTTAGTTCAATTATTTAAGTGTAGGCCAACATTTTAGAATAAGCTATAATAAAATCTTTTAAGTCAAACTGATGGGAAAGACCGTTAAGGTAATTTTTCCAAAAACTGGTTACCAACATTATTTTTGGCAGATGATTTTGCTATTTGAATTTGAAAATTGATAAATTATGTTAAATACAAACTTTAAATTATAATTAAAACATTAAGAAAAAAAATTATTGTGAAGAAAATTAGTTTCTTTTGTTCATTACAGTGTACACAGTGAATTATTTTAGCATACATTAATATTTGACCTTCAGGCTTCCGAGTACACAGAAAAATTTGTACAAATGGATTTATATTATATAAAAAAAAATCAGCAGCTAAAATATAATAATTATCTAATTAACATTAAAATATTCTGATAATACTGATATTAAGTTACATAATAACTCTTGTACTCTTTACCGTGTAACCCGTTTTTTTTTTACCTACTAATTATATTGAAACCTATAAATATATAAATTTAGTAAACAGGAAAAATTGTACATAATCATTTTCTATCTTGAACTAACATATGAAATATTTCAGCCCGTAAAAAGTATTAAAAGATTAATTTAGGGCAGACAACTATAGTTCTAAAAAGTTCATATTATGCAAACAGATATGCACTAAAAACAATAACGTTCTTTTTAAACAACAATTACATTTTTAAAAAGCTTTTAAAAAATAAATTCAGAACTTGTATCAGAATTAATGTACTTTCTGTAATTTTTTTTTTTAAACAAAAGAAATTTAGAAAATGCTTATTTTTAAGATCTGTAAGATCGAGCGTAGTAATTGTAAACAAAAAAGCAAAAGGTAAATGCAATCTTTTCAGAGCAGTCGAAAGGGTAACAAATTTATTTAAACTGCCTGAAATTACGTATCCTAAAAGAGACCATTCTAACAAATTATTATCAGTTTTAATAAAACTATACAAAAAGAGCATGTTTATATAAATATAAACAAACCCAATGGCCTTTGTTAAAATTATTTAATAAACTTAATAATAATTGTGTGCAAGATTTATGGAAATATATTTTAAAATGTTAAAAATTATTGTAATACTTTAGCAGGTTTTTTTAAATAGAACTTGTTTTGCCATTACTTTGGGAACAATATCTCAAATACTACAAAACCGATTATTTATTTTATAATTTTTTAGGTTTATTGTACACTAGAAGATTCTATTAACACACCGGTATTCTCTTAAAATTATTGAAGTTTTGTAGTTTTCCTTTTTGAAAATATGTTTGTTTAATATGATATAATACAATATATAGAAATTTACAATTTAAGCTTTATCAGCTTCCAAAACTTAACTTGTAGGATATATATTTTTATTAACTTCTTAACCTTTATCTGCGTGCCTCACTCAACTCCACTTCACCTTCCCGTCCTAAATTTTAAGCTTAAATAACATTAAAAATAATTATTTAAAACTGTTAAAATCAGTAAATTGTTATTAATATAAAAATCAAATTAAATAAATATGCTACCATTTAAGTTTCAAATGTTTTTAAATACTAAAAAGATAAAAATTGGGATATTGTTTAATATTGTAATATTACATAAACAAAATTGTTTTCATTAAGAAAAACTACAAAATTAACTTTCAATTGTATTTTAAGGGTTAACTTATGTAGATGTCATTAAAAGAATCACCTGGTATATGATTGTCTTTGAATAAAAGTTTTATTGTTTTATTAATAATTGTATTTTTATATTAAATTAATCATCATTCTTTAATATTTTAAAATCTTTTGTTCAAGAACTGCTTTTAATAAGTATGTATTATAAGCCTACAAAAGCTTATTGATAATCGTTCAAGCAGTTTTTTGAGATTTTATGGTCACCACAAAATAAATCAATTTTAAAAACAACCAAACGTTTGCAATATAGTGTTTACTCACAACGGGTTTTACTTGTTCGTGATAGTTTAAAATAAAAATATCTCTTATGAAATCAAAAGTGAATGCCTTTTTCTAGGAAATGATGTATCCAATTTTTAATAATAATATTTCCTCCACAATGTCTTAATCTTTAGATTTCATAATAGTTATTTTTGTTTTGTAAACTAACATGGATCCAGTAAAACACAAGCTACGTAACTATGTTACAGTTAAAATGTGAAAAAATCTTGTAAAAAAAATATACTAGCAACAGAAGTCCATTATTTACTGTAGGTACTAATAAATTAATTACACAGTATCTAGTTTAAGTTAAACCTTAAAATTGTTCTAAAAATTATAATAAAAACCATAATAAATCTAATAAATACGTTGAACGTCCTTTTAGGATATTAACTTAAAGAGCTATAAGCACATGGCACAAAAAAGGGAAAGGGGCTACGGGAGGCTGAGCCAAATCGACTTGTCTTCAATCTCCATAGAAAATATTAAAAATTATACCTAGTGATAAATAGTTTTTTATTTACAGCAAAATTTGATCTTTGGAAAAATTAGAAAATAGACGTGATAGAGAAATTTTGAAGCCAGTTATGGGTTTGGTGAAGTCCAAAATAATTTGAATTCAAATTAAAGCGTAATTAATGAATTTAAGTGTGATATTATGTAATAGTACAAAAATTTTCTCTTTAAATTATTAGCCAGATATTAAGCTATCGTGTTATTTTATAAGCTAAATAAACTTTTAAATACTTGGGATACTACATAACTCTTTCAGAACACACTCACTGAATATTATAGTTACCTCAAAGTACCTAAAGTAGTAGTAGATATGATATACAAGAAATAAAATACAAATTTGATTAAAATAATTAACTATTGAACTCTAAATAAAATTTACCTGTCATTACTTTTGTATTAATCTATACATTTTCAAAGTGAATCAAATAAACATTGAAATTAATTCAAGTTTCTTTTTCTGAAATGTTAAAAAAGACAGTAAGAGGCTCCCACCCGAGATTTTTTTCCTGTTTGAGCCACTGCGTTAAGCATTACCCATTAACCTTGAGTTAACATGAATCCAATTGAGTGTCTAGTTAAACTATTGATTTTCATATAAAGTAGCTAACGATATGAGCAAACATCGCAGTAAACTACCGCAATCAGGAGTCTACAAGCCGAGGATTTGTTTGTTTCGGACAAACTTTGGTAATATTATCATTTTTAACTTCGGGACGATAACAACAAAAAAAATAAATAATTCAAAAATATTTACTCACTCGAGAGAAATTGTATAGTCATCGGCTCATGCTGCTGCTTTCTGTACCTGTACTGTTGACAATTAATAATAAAATATAATTATTATTATTATATTATATTATTCTTATTGACGGTGATGATAATATTATATTTGTCCACTGTTGAGCACACTATTTCCGGATTTGTCGTTGCACCGACAATTGTGTTTTTTCCCCAATAACGATAAGTATTAATATTACAAAATTAGATACCTTACTATAATTTGTCGGTTAGAGATATTATAATATTTTTTTAATTTAATTAATTTGATTTTTTTTTTTTTTTTACTTTTACCCAGAGTGCCGACGGTCGACGCTTATCAATGTATGAACGATGATTACGACCGGAGCGGCGGCCAACACTGAATTTTAAACAGGTAAACTCAGTTGCGCCAGCAGCTGCAACTGTGGTTTAACAAACCCACTCTACACAATCAACAATAATAATAATATATATTATTATCACACACACACACGGTCGCCGCCACGCAGATCCCCACTTACAAAACATAAAAACGCTCAAATATAATATTTTTCAAACGTCAATAATTATTAAACATTTCAAATTTCAATTTTCAATGTTACCTTGTCGGGACGGTTCATTGTATTCGTACACGGTCACAGCTGGCGTATAAGACAAAATCCACGATTATGATCAATTATTATAATAATAATATTCGCAGCGATAACATTATTTAACATTCGAATACTATAGAATCTATATAATAAGTATGATATTTGCTAATATTATGATATGGTCATTGGCCAATACTTTTATAGGTAGGTCGGTCCACCTACTTTATCGTTGTCGGTAATAATTTGTACGCCAGAAAAAAAAATTCAACCCGTTTTATTATACGAACGACTGATATAATTATTGCACGGTTGTAGGTAGTTGTAAAAAAAAGTATGAATTTGAAGTACAACTAAGTGCTTCTAAATAAAATAATAATTCATTTAAGATGTTTTTCACTGAACACAAATCTATCAGCATATTACTATAGGTAGGCCGTAGTAGGTAGGTACAGTTATATTTTAAATCGCCTCTACAGTTGTGAACAATTATACCGTTTAATAGTATTTTCAGCGAATTCTGGAAGTTTGAATAATTGTTCTATACTATATTTCAAATAGAACTAATCACAGAATTATTGTAGAATTTTCGTTTATTTTAATAAAATTAAATTTAAAAAATCCTAATTTTTGTTAGTAAACTGTTGACATACCTAACCTAACCTAACCATCTATGGTATAAAAAAAATATCACCTAATTATTAGAAAAATACCTATTCTTAAGCCGAATTCGGCTTCAGCGACAAAGTCTCTAAAAAAAAAATATGAATTTTGGTTCTTATTCCAAAATTTTGTCGTACAACTTATTGTAATCAAGACTTAAAAAAAAAAGTATAACACATATAAATTTCGCATGCATAATAGGTACTATAATTAAAAATATATTAACAAACATTTCATTGTTTTTGCCATTTGAACACTATTGTATTCATAATGTGTTTAATGTAGTAATTAGTAAAAATGCATTAATATAATATTATAATTTGTATTAAATTAAAAAAATTCACATAACATTTCATGTTTTGAACAAGTCTGAGAATATATTAAACAACTATCTAGTGTAAAAAATAATATTTACTTTGTTTTCTGAAAATTAGGGATTTCAGACTTGTGCCCTTTCTCGAGAACACTATCAATGTTAATATTACCTATGTGCATTTTTGTCCTAACATAAGCCTGCATTATTTAGGACACAATAATATTAGCTATTCGTTTGCGTGCTACCTACAATGACCTACTAAATAAATATATACCACTCGTAGGGGTTGACCAACCGTTGACTGCTTGTTTATCGATTATTTGTGAATTGTGACCCATGTTATGAGATCTGGCAAAAGCGATATTATGCCCTGCGATAAGTTAGTTAAATGTCCTCTAGGGCTTAAAAATAAAAAAAATTAAATTGTCCTATGCTATGGAAAACAACCCGGGTTTTCTAAAAAAACGATCAACGTGGTGATTCCCATGACTAACACACGAATAACCTTGGGCATTGATTTTATAATATTGTATAATATAATTATAAAATCAATGCCTTAGGCTATTATAATAAATAGTTTCAAGCTTCTGGTTAGGGTTTTCCGTGTTTTCACAATAGTTACATATAAAATATTTATACATTTAAATACAAAAATTATTAATTGTTAAAACATTTCAATGCGTGTTACCTACTTCTATTGCTTGTCGGCTAAGTTAAGGTTACATAAATTATAAACTTGTAAAGAATATAGTAATAATTTCCAACGATATGTAGGCATATACTATATTTAGATTAGGTTAGGTACAATGCATATTAATTATATTTTATGCGATAAGTAATAATATTATAATTTATACCTACCTATATACCAAGTCGCTGCATTTACATTGCATAAAATATCGTTTTTCATACAGTATTCTTATCAGATAATATGAGAAACTAATAATATGTGTATATTGATTTTTTTAACTTACTACCTATACTTACTCGAGCTATAAATAAATTATAAGAAAACCAAAAAGGTCTAACAGCAAATGTTGTGTGTACTATATTATAACGATTCGAATTACCATTGTAGTTTGGTGACTGGACCAAGTATGGTACTTACCTAATAATGAATTTTTACATCACTATGTAAATATTAGGTATGTCAGTATACTGTCAATACATTTTGATATATCTTGTACACAGATAATGGTAGGTAGGTATATTGTTATAAATAATAAACATAATTACTATATCGAATTACACCGTGGATAATTCTGGCGGTTATGTTAAGTAATAAGTATTTGGTTATCAGCGATTTGTCATATTTTCTATTGAAACACGAAAACTCTACATACTTAATCCGAAGAACGATAATTAAGTATTATTTTCAAGAATGATAAATATTTAATATTATAATAAAATATCATGACTCATATTGTATTTAAAGATTAATCAAAATGAAACGTGCCTAAGGCTCAACAATTATATTCACCAATAATAATATTGTAATTTGTAATATGATGCACAATTTGTTTAAACAACATTTACACTTGATATGAGTACATATAGTCAAGGGACAAAGATAAAAGATTTGCCCTTTTACAGTAGAAAACTTAAAACAACATTGTCTGTGCGGTTATATTTTTTTGTTTTATTTTTAACAACTCGTGTAGGTACATTTGTTTTTTACACAGTACTATATTAGTCGGATTTTTTCCATAAAAATATTTTATTTTCGCTTACAACCTTGTGTGGACTGTAGCAAGGTCTTTGCTCCGTTACCTACGCATTGACGTTTAATATAGTAGGTAAGTAGGAATGTACATTTTTTTTGTTTTACCATACAAAGAGATTGGCTAACTACCTATGGACAGGGACTATCTTAGAAGACATTAGTCTTTATAAAATATCTTATTCTCCATACTTTTATAGAGTTCATTTTTATATTTCTCAAATATATAATTAAAACTCGATTACAGAATAGTCAACATTTTCGGCTAATTATTAAAATAATTAAATTTACCTATATATAGGTACGTTACCATTTAAATTTTTTTTAAATATTCGTATGGTTTTAACTTTTAACACATAAAAGGGTTTTATTGTTGAAAAATATATCTACAAAATGTCGACTAACTTTTAACTAAAATTATAAAAAATAAATTAAAATAAAAAAGTTATTTCTTTTAAGACATTGACTGCGGGTCATAGCTAACCAATCACTATGTATAAATATAACTATATTGCTTTGGGTCTAAGAGAACTAATCGGAAGCTTTTGTCAAAGTGAGTTAAAATAGGTAAATATTACCTATATCAGTGGTCGCATATTAATATGATTATTATTTAAATAATATAAATGAAAATGATTGCTATATCAAAACACATGGATAATTCTGGTGGTTTACATTAATAGTAGCCTTATGTAACCGCTTATGTGAAATGAAACCTTTAAAAGCTTATTTGTCAAACTTTGTAAAATGTGACATTGACCCTTCTTGACCCAAGCCACGGATATATAATATAATTTTTATAGTGACATTATTATAGGTACCATATTATTATTTTGTAGCTCGCACGAACGTGGGAAATTTATAAACCAGTCAAAATGAACAAAAAAAAAAATAAATAATACCTACTACAAATTATAACAATCTATAGTCTTACTGGTTTATGGTATGATACCTATAATTATCCAACACTACCCATTAAAAAACAGTACTTCCCGCGTGGATAACCTTGACTGTTAAACCGCGTTACTTGGGTAAACTTAAATCAATACAAAAAAAAAAGCATAGTACTTACTCGGTTGACAAATGTACTATTAATAGTGGCGTTTTCTCTATTTTATAGGGGAAGGGATAAATTTTTTACAGTTTTGGCCAGTAAAAGTACTTTTAATAGGCCTATTAGGTACGAAAAAAAGGACAACCTTAATATATACATGTATACTAATAAATAAAGTGATATTAAAAAAAATGTATATATTGGACTTTATACTTTGTTTTTTGGAATAATTTTTTAGGAGACGTTATTTGTATAAGGGTCGAAGTATATATACATAGCCCATAGGTACTTATACAGTTATACCTATAAACTAGTCGACTGTTGTTCAGCTCGTGACCTCGGAATACTTATCCAAATGTATCCAAGTTTAACTTATAATATCAACAACCTGGTTAAGTCCTAATGAACTTTTGTGTAAAACGAGACACGTGCACCAATTTCGCACAAGGTCAAATGTGAATTGGTATAACATTGAATTTCAAATTTACTTAGGTTTTATTATGTACTTTTTATTTTAAAAATAATATATATTGTTGTAATAGGTAATAAAAGTCAAACACTGGTTTTTAAGCAGTTAAAATGACACTTGCTAGTTGCTTTTCGCCTATAACAATACAATATTGACTACTTACTTGTATAATCTTATATTAATATCGTTTGGACTAGTCCCAAAGGAACTTGTTATAATTGAGTTATTTAATTGTTTGATTTTAAAAATAATGCATCAATTGTGCTCTTCTTTTTTTTTACTTTGGTTAAATATTTTTACTTTTTTTGTCTAGAAAAATTAACTATACGATTGTTAAATCAATAATTCTAAAACTAAAATGTTAAGTTAAAACAATAAAACTGACTATTTTACTGTAGTCTGAAAACGCGTTAAAGTACATTTAATACATGTAGTTTTTGCCTTTGCTAGTCTAATAACTATAATTGAATATCTAAATTAATTCAAACATTTAACTCAACTCAACAAATGTATACTATTTTCATTGTTAATTTTTATTTTACTTATTTTCCTTTAGCCAGAAATTAATAGTATACATTTTTATTTTAGCTAAATAGAATTTTAAATACTTGGGGGATATGCACTGTATACAAAAACAATTTAAAGTAATTATTAATTGTAATATAATATATAATAGCAATAAAGTGAAATCATGTTGAACTATAATAAAATAGTAAATATAATATGTTACTTTTATCAGATAATGTTGTGGCTAAAAATATTGGATTCAACCAACGTGTAGTTAGTTTTGTAGTCGTAATTTATGTGAATTATATTTTAGTCCAACTGTTTGGTGGTATACTACACAAAAAAGACTCGTTTTACAAGTAATCCAGTAAAACATACATAAAAAGTTTTAAAAATTAGATTTTAGAACAAACGACAAAAATAAGCGGATCTAGCGTCGTTTGATACAATGTTGTTTCATCGAAATACGTGCAGATAGTTGTTGTTTATCGTATAAATATTATTACACTATAAGAATTGTCGTTTTAAATTTATTTACTATTAAGTAAAACGTGTCCTTATTATATATTTTTACCTTTAGACAATATCAGTTGGAAATACATATTAATATTGTTCTTAATACCATAAAAAAACAAAACAAAAAACAAAAAGTTAACAACATTCATAACAACACGTTTTTATTTGGTAAATCAATAACGTACAAGCAATGATAAAAAATTTGGGTAAAAGGTTATAAATTATAATAATACGTATATATTATGTACCTTGACTAATAATAATGATAATAATTTTTGTTTTCGAAAAAATTATAATTGTATAATATACAATAATAATATAAATAAAACTTAGTATAAGTTTAAAAAAAAAGAAGAAATTATATTTATGTACATATATTGTATATAATTCAAAGCATAACGAATAAGTATTAAAAATGATACGACAACAACACGAAACTTCAAAAGGGTAAGTAAACAAAAAAAAAAAAATTTACAAAAATTGTGTATTAACACATCGGTGTGGGTGAGTAAACAAATACGTATCAATCATTATGGTACACTTTGCTATGTACAAAATCAATTTTCTAAATTTGGGGGGCAATCGCAAATTGTATCATACAATAGTTTATTTTTATTTTTTAATGAAAGAAAACCGAAAAGAAATAAAGAAAAACGCAAAGAGTACGATTACAAACCGATAAAAGTATGTAACAACACGACGATAATTATTATTAACTATAAACAAAGGATAATAGGTATATTATATCATGATAATACATAATTACGTAAAAGGTGTAATATATAGGAAAAATTGTTTAGAATAGTAAAATAAAAAAAATAATCTCACACAAAAACAATAATGCACAATAATTGGAATATAGTCTAAATAAAAAAAAAATAATAATAATAGTAAGTCTATGATAAAGAAGATATCGACGTTTTCTTCTTGAGCGGCGGACGGCCTCGCTTTGACGCCGCTACTCGTTTGGCCGCAAGACAAGACATGCAATACCATACGGCGCAGTCGGGCGGGCACTGGATGCCGACACAGACCCTACGGAAAAGAGATAATTATTAATTACCCATGACGTTTTACAATTATTTACAAATTGACTGTAGTGTAATTATTCAATGTTATCACTCACCAATGGTACCAAGCATCACACCCGTCGCATCCTATCATCGGGCTACCGTCATCCCGTTGGGTACACGTAGGACAGATCCACACTTGGTTGCCGGCCTCATCCTGTTGTTAAAAATAAATAAGTATAAAAGTCGAATAAAAAGTTTTCCGAAAAAAAAAACGTGTACAATAATAGGGCGACACAGACAATATCACTCATAATACTGACACTTAAATGTGTATTATATTTTCTTAACATAATTTTGTTCTTCGGACATTTGCTCACTAAACGTCGACGTCATATAAGTATTATTTTTTGGTTTAAATATCGTTTAATGGAAAAATTCAAAAATTAAATACATCTATCTGGTATGTGAATAATACAAATTATAGAAAAGTTGCTTGGGTTATCTTATTTTCTTATCTTGTGGAAACACTCTACCATTATCCTTTTAATAAAACCCAAAAAGCCACCAGACTGTTCTTTCTCATACAGGCCAATCAGCCTCCTACCAATATTCTCTCAAAGTATTCAAAAAACTGTTACTAAAAACGCATCATACCAATAGTAAATATAATTTCTTTTGCCTTCCTCGATATATCTCAAGCCCTCAATAGGGTCTGACACGGAGGTCTAATATACAAATTAAAACTGTTCTTACCTAGTCATTATTTTCTAATCCTTAAATCTTACTTAGATAATCAATTATTTTCTGTACGTGTGGGTTCTGCTATTTCTTCTTCAGAAAAAATAAACGGAAGCGTGCCCCAAAGTGCAGCAACGGCGCCTTTACTCTTCAACTTATTTATCTCAGAATAGCCAACCTCAACTTACATCTCAGTTTATGACTTCTAACGACACAGCTGGTCATAAGGCATACAGTTGTGGGTAGAGGCCAGAATCTCTCCAACGCTAACCGTATTCAATGATTCCAAACCAAAGTCCTATGTACTATTTGTAAAGCCCCAATCTATTAACCAAGACCTAAACATTTCTTAAGTGCCTGAAACTGAAGGCTTGACCTAAGTTTATTATTTTATCTACACTTACATAGTAAAATGCAGCTGGTACGTTCTGTCGGATGGCAGTAGATTTTTTAGAAGTAGATTTTTTGTGAGGTTTTGATTTGTGTGTTTTCGATGACTTAATGTTGACGTTAGTTGGCGAATCCACAGTGACACTCGTTGAAGGAGGCGAACTGATGACTACATCATCTATGCTGTCGTTAACAGGAGGAGTAGTAGCTTTAAAATTGTCTGTGGTAGATGAAACTTTTCTCGATTTGGAAGTCCGACGATCTTTATGGACTTCCACCAATTCTTTGGTCTCCATTGTTAGCACCGGCGGCAAATGGTCGTCTTTAATTGTGTACTTTGGGGACTTAATTATTGTATCGGCATTTCGTTTTTCATTTGGCGATTTCTTTGAGACGATGGGAGACCTTACTTTGTCAGAGATGGGTGGAGATTTACTACTTCTCTTTATTGGCTTGATAACACTGTAAAAAACATTACATTCATTAAAACCCTTCATAATTAGTTTAAATAAACAATTTTTTTGTTTTTTTACAGTTTACGCTGCATTGTACTCGGAGACGTATTGGAGCCGGCGAGTTTGAGTTTAATTTTTGGTACCAGCGACAAATCCACCTCTTTACTGGTTGTAGGTTCCTAAACAAAATAGTAATATATAATATAGTTAATATGTGGTGTTAAAAGTTTTTTTTAAGAGCTTTAAGAAGTTGAAAAATATTTAACTGTTCAACATGATCTGTAACGTACAATTATACTGCTACAATAAATAACTCTACTCCTGTAACGTTGAAAAAAAAACAAATCAATACCTTTAATCAAATTAAAATTCAAACAAAAACTTTGGAGAAACTGCCAACAACAAATCGAATTTTCTAAAAAATTACCAAATAATAATTTTTGTCATCCCGAATGAAGAAATACCACAAAAAAAGTACTTCAAATGATCTTAACAGAAATAGAAAAACTAGTTGAACCCAAAAACATAATTTTTGTGTCAAAAATTTCCAAAAAACGTTTTTGCACTTTTTCTTTTATTCAAAGCACAAAATAATAACTGAAAAACAGCATTATACTAGTACAAGGTGAAATATAAAAACAGCATGTTTACAGCAGAACTGCAGAAGCCCTGGGAATAAAAAGAAAAGCAAAAGCAAATTTAATATATGAACAGATTCTCAGGCATTAAAAATAATAACAGCAGAAATGAAATAACTATTACCATCAAAAGTTTAAATAATCACTTCTTTATTTTTTTTGGTTAATGTTTTATCTATTTTATTAAAAACAATTCAATAAAACCAAAATGTAAAAAATTATTGTCCAATAACTTTAGTAGTAAGGCCTTTTTATATAAAAAAAAAATGCACTAAGTATACTTTTGTTTTATAAAGGCTCTTTTTATAACTTTTGTCATACTAAAAAAAAGAATTACCTTTAACAAACGAAATTAACGGTTTTAATTATTACCTCGGCGACAGCGCTATTAGAATCGTCACGATTGGATTCTCCGCAAGTGGAATCCGATTTTTCTTTGTTGGACTTTCCCAATAACTTTTCCTCCTTCTTTCGTTTACGCTCTCTGCGCTTGTCTTTTTTATCTTTTTTCTTTTTGGACTTCTTTCGTTCTTTTTTCATCTAAAAAATTTATCAGTAGTACAAAACTAAAATTGGTGAAAAATGTATACATAAGTAAAGCAACAATTGTTGACCAACCTCGTCCGACGATTCTTTTTTTTCTTTAACGAGAGTCGGAGGCGACGAACTAACCTCTTCCGGTATTTGGTAGTCGTCTTCACCGGGTAGGGGCGGTAAGTAAGACACAGGAGTTGATTGGCTAGTGGCATTCGGTGATTTTTCAACAGTTTTTGCCGTTAAAATGTTACATGGAGGAATAGTGTACTTGGGGACCAACGGATTCGAGGCGAGTGAAGGTGGTATGGGCGGTGGTAAGTTTCCAAAAAATGAGAATTTTACCGGCGACGGTGGCATTGGGTGCACATCATTTGCTATTTTTGGTTTCTTTTTTACATTATTGATAACTGCAAAATCTGACATAAACAAATCATCCACAGGCATTATTGATTTTTGTTTCTTTTTTCTTTTTTTCGCTACGGGATTAGGCTTTAGCACTTGGTCCTCTTTCGGCTCAGTCTTTAGAGAAGTAATCGTACTAGTAGGAGGTAGTTTTTCATCAGCAACAACTGATCGAACGGGCTCGGGTGTTTTTTCTTTCTTTATTTTCTTGTTGTTATCAATGTTGGAAACATCAGCTGACGTGGTGGCGACAGCAACGCTAGATGCCGTTTGTTCGTGTTGACGCGACAGCGTGTTAATTGTGTTATTGCTAGGAGGTTTTGCAGCCTGTCGTGCCGCTGATGATTTATCTGATTTGGTAGATATTTTCTTAAATATATTCAACTTGCGTTTGTCAGGTTCGGCATTTAATTTCTCACTTTCGTCGTCACTGTGGGAATGGTTGTTTTTCGAACGTTTACTAGAACTTTGTGATGATGACAGTCCACTTTGAGGAGCTGCTGCGGCCGGGGACAATCTATCAAAAATTGCGTTGAGCGCATTAGTTTTCAGTTTGTCTCTATTGCTTTTCGGGGTTTGTTCTTTGCGGTGGTTGCGTTCTCGCTGTATCGCACTAATCTTCTTGGATGGTGTTGGTTTTTTAACACTTGAAAATTCTTCTTTCAAGGGTTTTTTCATAACTGTTTTAATCAAATCGGTCTTATGCCCACCACTGGCTAGAGAGGGTTTTTCTTTGGTAAAAGAACTGCTTAGCGGTGGTATTTTGTTAGGGGGCGGTTTCTTAATATGACGTTGCTGTGGGCGATTTTCAATCTTTATTGCTGTTTTTACAGAAGTCGTTGCTTCTGGAGGATTTGAAATCGGTTTTGAAGACGTAACTGTACTTGTCTTGGTTGACGACGAGCTAGTGGACTGAGGTGGCGGAAGTACCAATCTAGATTCCGGTAGTCTCCCTTCCCGTGAAGGCGACAAATATCCAGATGTCGTCATGACAACGCTTTTTATCTCTCTAAGACGTCTATGCACCGGTGCCATTACTATGTTATTCATTAACGGCCTAGAATAATAAAACAAAAATGTTAATAATGTGTTAAATGTATAGAACTAAACTATTATAATTGTGTTTAACTATTTTAATAAATTAAAAATTGATTTTCTTATAACGTTGTATCTCTCTTTCCGTGATATTTTTATTTATCTCTACTACTCTCTCAGGCTTTCATCAACTTGATACTAAATTTGTTTATTAATTGTAATATTATTTGTATATTTTGATAAAAAAAACAAAAAGTTTATTAGTCTTGTAAAAATATAACAGAAAATATGAATATAGTTTTACTTTAATTATTTTTTTAAGTTACAATTTACATTTTGGATACTATCCTAAAAAATGCTTAAAAAAAGTTAAAATTGTTTATGCTAATATCATTTTTAAGTAATAAGAGTTTTTAATTCAATTTTAGAAATATTCGAATTATGAGAAAAATTTGTCTACATCATAGACGGACAAACAATTCAATTATTTCCTACTTTTTCTTCATTTCACTTTTTTGTCTAATAAATATATTTACTTATTTTTTATTGTATTTGGTATCTTGAAAAATGTCCATATACAATAAAAAAAAAAAAAAAAATTAAAATTAAATATACATTACCTGTCAGCATTTTTATCTGAAGCAGAACTCTTTGGTTGATTATCCTCAATCAAAATATTCCATGGATCGTTAGTTGTTGAATTGTTAGCAGTATTAAAATTTTGATTGGACTTTTCATCTAGTAAAATTAAAAAACAAATGTTTACATTAATATATTATTATTGTTAAAAGCATAGAATTATGTATATTTTTAGTTATTATTTTTTTTTTATGTCAAGATTGGTTTTAGGATAAATGTTTTACTTTTTTTTATTTGAATCAATTACATTGTTTTAATCATTTAATAGATTATACATCAATGGCAAAACTTTTTAAGGGGTACAACTGATGATTATGTTTTCAATAAAAAAGGAGAATATTATTTATATTTTTTTGAATTGATATTTTTATGGTTTTTAAATTTGCAATCAAAAGAGTTTTTTGAGTTATTTTATAATAAGTCAGGTCTACATTAGTTTATTCAAATAAAAAAAAGTAAAACATTTATCCTAAAACCAATCTTGACATAAAAAAAAAAATAATAACTACCAAAAGCATGTACGCGAAATAAAACATTAAAGAATCTGTTTACATATTGCAATCGAGTTAACTGGCATTTGCCTCAATCATTAGATACGATCTTGATGAACTACTCTAGAGTCCAAATTAAAAATTAAATTTAGTATATTTTTTATTTGTACATACATTTATTAACATTTTCAATACTAATAGCATATTTTACATTTCTTAAAATTTGGGTATCTAAAAGTACTAACAAAATAATGACAAGATAAAAGGAAACATTTGTTTGTTTTTGAAAAAATAGAAAACTACAGTATAGATAGCATTTAAATAAATATTATTAAACGAGAAAGAAGAAAAAAGAAAAGTCAACAACTATTTTGTGTAAACAAGTTTTTTTGTAATTTATAAATGAGTATTACACATTTAAATAAACAACTTGGAAGTGCATAATCGGGTATTTCTTTTTTTTTTTTGTATATTTATTATTTTGGTTGTTTTAAGTGACGCTAGGTTATACTACGATATATACCAGACTGCTGTTCAACCGGATACATTGTCGGTAGGTGTTCGTGTACATGAACTGGTCTTGTGACAATTTCTCTACTTCCTGGCTTCATCATGTTCAGGTTGGTGGACTTGGCTGGCACAGGATATGGGGGAATGAGTCTATTTGCACTTGGCAGTTCCGTCTCTATGTTTTGCTGGTGTTTGAGGTATTTTCGAATTTCTGCTAGGCGAATGCGTCGGTCGCGATAAGCCATAACGACGTCTTCAACGCACGGTGATCCACTGCCAATCAGAGTAGAATCCGCTGAAAACAAATTCACAAGGGTTTTCATCAGCAAGAATACATGGTTGGTCAAAAATACTTGACCGATGCTGCGCAAATTAATTTTTAGATTTATAGGTGTATATAAACAAATTTATTTGTAACGCAACTACTAACTAGGTAGCTAACATTTTAAACTAAATAGTTCAAAATTTGATTCCCCAGACCATTTGAAACTTAAATGTTAATGTATAAATGAAGGGTACAGGGAAAAAACCAGCAGTCACTTTTTAAAAATGGCAATTTTTTGTTGTAAAATTAGTTTTGATTCAAAACGAATCTGTTCTTTACTTTTAAGCTTGATTATAAACAAAAATATACAATTTTTTTAAAAGTTTTTTAAGTATTTCTTTAACACTTTAAAATATATTTTAGTATTATTTAAACATGTTTTTCTTAGATTAAAAAAAAATGACTGGTGGTTTTTTCCCTGTACTCTTCAAATGTTTTATGCATTTTTTAAATCAAGAGTAAACCATTAAAAATGTCGACTGGTCGATAAATAGTTTGCTTTGAATAATATAAGTTATTCATCATCATGTAGCTTAACGGGCCTTGAAGACCCAATGCTGCCATCATGAGATGGTTTCTAGACAAATTCCCTATCTGAGATGGATCGTCAGTCCGTCGCCAAAGAGAGGATGGCAACTCCTTTTTGCCAGACAGTATCTTGCCCTGCAAACGGAGCGCCCATGACCGAGTATCGAACCGGCGATAGTGAGCGCCAAACACACTGACGCGGGACGCCTAACCCACTCCTCCATAGATAAAATATGTTATTATATTAAAATTACAAAAAATGAGACGACTAAAGCGAACAATCGATTTTTGCAGCATCGGTCCAGTTTTTTTACCGACCGTCAGTGCAGGGGTAACGGAAACATAAGTACACCGGTGTTTAGGCCGAATGCAAGCGACACCCAACCCACAACGAGCGGATGGATACGGACGGCGAGTAGGGTTTACTTGTCAACGGCACCAAAGCGCGTTTTACTTACTGACTTCGGAGTACTTCTTGACGGCCTTCGCCAGCCCTGAGCAATACTCGTGTAGCACATCAGTCATCGTTCGTATAGCCGACGTTGACGCCGTTTCCCAGCCACTTTGCGTGCACACACGGGCTACTGCGGCCGCCAGCCCTTGCCTGGTGAAGTCGTCGATGGAGGACATAATAATTTATAACGATATAATTATTATAATATCCTCCCTTCGGCTTTTGGGTGGCGGCAACGTTGTCGTTTACAAAACCGTTTTGGCGCTGAGCTGTCGACACCGGATCCGAACGGCAATTTACTGTAAACTGTACGGCCTATAGCTGGTCGCTGGTGTTTACTGTTTATCATCGGCAATGATAATTATTATATATACTATGGGTAATGGGTATCATCGCCACCGCGGCTTTAGCAGCTACAGATAAGGTCGGTTATTGGTTGACTCCGGTCCGCCCCTTCGCGCTCGCCGCCACGACTTGTCCGCTCGCGAAAACGTTTACGGAATTCACCACTTTAAGCATTGAGCGCTACTATAGCCAAACCGTTTTATAGGTTAGGATGTTAATTAAAATCAACAAAATATACCGCCATATACTACGGCTGAAAACCGAGGAATTTTTTTTTTTAATAATAATAATAACGGCTCTGTTTGTAGGTATTTTTTTACAATCCATAAAAAAACAATGTATAATAAGTAAATAAATTGAAAATTCGAATTAACAACGAGTGACACAAATCACGATGGGAAATCTCACAATAGAATCACACGCCTTAAATGGAAACCCAGAATAATTTTAGAGATCTAGAAAGATCTTGGCATTTTATTTTTAAGGTGTCTGGGCCGGTTTACAGGGAAGTTAACTGATACTTAACTGTGTGCTGAGTCGATTGGAGTTTGAGTTTAGTTTTAAGAAGAAGCGGTTCCATTTACTGATTGGATAGTAATGTCACATTTTAATGATTCATTTGTTACAGCTAAGGTGGCAGGCAAATATTTTGAAAGGCTTCAATAGTCCTTATATTTGAGGATTTCGCAAGCCTAAAGCCCCCAAATGCCTATACCATAGGTTCACACTTCACATAGGTCTTAGTAGAGTTTTGTAGAGAATGAGCATGTGTGTAATAATAAAATACTTGATTTTAGCAGAGGTCTCAAGAGACGTACCTAGTCTAGATTAAATTGGCTTATAAGATAAAGCTATGAATATTAATATAAAATTTACTAAAACAATTTAAAAGCAAAATAAATGATCCGATCATCGTTATCTTGTGTAGTATAGTTCTCAGAGACAAATGTATAATAGCGAACAAGCAATTAAATGTAGGCCAAACAATCAAAACAAAACTATATAAAATTATCTACACGGTAAAATTTCCAATCATGTTTATTATTTAAGGCCACCCAAACTACTATGTCGGTACACTCTCCCGTAAGCGACCGTTCTGTTACGAGGAGGGTATTGTCGCGTGCATTATTGTTTTTACGAATATTATAATTGTGTGTGTGCTTATTAACTTATAAGTTGCTTTTCTTTTTACTTAATTTAAAAGTGTTACCTTTTTTCCCGTCGCTTTTAAGGTAATTCGAAACTAAGTGTTCTTTAATAATAAGTGTATTGTGTTAAAGACCGAATCTCTCGAGGAAGCCTAAGTACGGTTAGGTCTTGTTTCTTTGCTAGTGTCAGTACTTGCGTTCAAGCTACCAACCTGTTTATTTTAGTTATAAAGCTAGACAATATAATTGTCCTGAGTCATTATACTATTTATAATCAGAGCCTTGCTCGTTGGATGGAAAATCACCTGAGGCAGAAACAACCCTGAAGTGTGTGTGTGTTTAACGGTTCGTGTACCAAAGTGCGTATACGGCACTTGTCGAAGTGGCTATAATTTATAGCGATTATTTGATACATATGTTTTTAATTTACTACAATTAGTGTACCATATATTTATTTTAAGCAAAAATTTGATAGGGTAAGGGGTTTAGTGTTTACCCCCTCAGACCTCCACTTAATTAATATTATTTACAGTTTTTTTCTCTTTAACTGGAAGGTGACAAAACCATCGCCTTCTTAGTTGTTCATATTTTTTAGGGTTTTACGGAATAGTTATTGATGAGAGGATTAGCATGATGACTTGTTCGGTTTCCAAAGCGTTTGTAGTGTAATTTGACAGTTTCAGGCACAGTAGAAATGCCTTTGTGAATAGAGTCCTTGGAAAGATTGGGGCTTAACAAATAGTTCATAGGGCTTTGGTTTAGAATCTTTGAATACGGCTAGTGTTAGAGATTCTGGCCTTAACAGCAATTTGTAGAGTTATAGGTTGGTCGGTAATTTTATTCTTTGTACCAAGTTTTACTTGTTTTAACCAACATATGAGATTTTAAAATTTCGTTGCAAAAATATTTTCAGTGACTTTTCAAGTAGGGACACGTGGTTATTAATATTATCCGAATTAGTTAATCCGTAATTTAGTAATAATTGTTGTGTTTTATTTAATTTATACATTTTTACATCAATTTATACATTGGTAGGTACAATGTATTTGCTAAATAGGCACTGAATAGATATAAGTACCTAATACAAGTATACAGTGTTATCATATTTTATCAATTAGTATCACAGAATAGATTAAATATTTTATCTATTCTGTGGTAGTATAATCAGTAAATATTTTACATATTTTGGGATGATTTACAAGTTTTCGGTACTCACGTCGTTTCTCTCTCCTAATAAAGTGATAAAATAAAATAGCTACAACGTTAAGCCGGAATACCGAATAAAGCGATTGATGATTTATATTCAAAGTATGCTAATTAAGTTTTAGCAGCAAGTAAAAGTAAGTATATAATTCTAACAGTTAAATGTTGGTGTTGCAGTTCTATCATAAATACTTCTTAAAGTTACACAATATACGTTCATTTGATTTCAAACAAAGTATGTACATTTTATTAACGAACTATTGTAGGGATATGTATACAAAGTAAGGTAACAAACAGTGGATCATGTATTTGAATTAAACTTTTCGAATTTTATATTAAGATAAAATAAGAACACCTTTTTCCGAAATTTTTGTTAATTTGAATAAGTTCATTTTAAAATATAGTGAGTTGCTTAAGAATGTAGTATTCAAAGAATGTCTTCTTTAGTGTTGTAAAATATACCAGAACGTAAGACAAAAAAAAAATTTATATGGTATCACTTATTAATCTGCCTTGTAAACCAATTTTTTTGTAGCTAAATTTGTATCACGTGGATGACTTTCAGATATATCCGTGTCAATAGTTGTTAGCTGATATTTCAGACTTTTTGCAGAGTCCATCTTCAGGGCTGCGATAGTCATGACTGTTCTGCTGCCGTAGCGGTACTGGAACGTCGGCTAACAACTATTGACACAGATATATCTGTTAGTCATCAATGTGATATTTCAACCCGTGAAACCTTCAACACATTCATAAATGCGTATGTTATAAAAAATAATATCCTATAAATACCTTACAGACCGGCAAGGCACGATCGTGTGAGGGTTCAGTTTTTATTTTTTAATAATATTAAAACATTTTTACTTTGTTCAGACCGGTCCGCACAATGTGAAAAAAATATTTTTGGTCTGTAAGGATTATACATGAAAAAAAGGTGATGTAAAAATTAATAAAATAAGTACATTCATACTTTTCTTTCATGTTTTAAAATGCATAAATTCTTTATTTTTGATTTATTATTTTTTAATTTGTTTTTCATATGAAGATCACAACTCAAATTCACTCACACACAAATAAGAGAGCCGTTGTTGAAAAAAATATAAAGCAAAACATGAGTGTTATAAAAAAATTAAAGGCTTGTGAATAGGAAAAAGGTTACTGAGTAGTTCAAATAACGAGAAATTTTACTTGGAATAAAATATTAGTGCCATTCTGATCAGCCAGTTTTTTCACAAAATAAATTTGATACATTTTTATTTTGTTTTTTGCCTATCCCATGATATTATATTAAATTAATCTTGGCTATGACGAGCTATAAGTTGTTTTCAAAAAATTGGCAGCTGACTTTAGGCGGGAGTTATGTGTCCTAATTTCTTTGTTGGTATGTTATCTTTTGGTCCAAAATTGTTGGAACAGAGTATAGGGTTGAAATAAAACATACCACCATAGAAAATACATAGTTTTTTGCATATAACTATTATAATATTTATGTCTGTACCTATGTGCTCTGTATTAATATATTATTAATCATTCATCACATACAAGGCTAGCCGCCGTGTTTGTGAAAGTAACTATTATAATATATATTCTATTTTTTTTTTCAGGTTTTTGAGTAATATGTCAAACCAATACCCACAAAGACCAAAAAACAATTATCAAAAATACACAGACAAAAAATTATTGAAAGACCAGCCATTTTATAGAAGAAATCCTAGAGCATTTGTTATTATCGGAAGTTCACTAGGCCTCTTGATTTTGTTTAGCAGGGGATTGTATGATTTTTTCAGACCTACCACTTTTCAAGATTTTCAGCGGCAATTAGTCAAGGAAAAACAATATCAGTTACATTTACAAGAAACCTTAAAGAAAGAGTAAGCTGTTATCAGTGTCTAGAAAAATAGGTTCTTGGGGTCGGTCGATTACAATTTCAGTGCCACTTTGTGTTTGGAAAATTCCTTTTAATAAATAATGCATTCCCATTCCTTATTTTCATAATGAATACATTCATCAAAAATAAAAAGCATTCAGTTCATTAAAAAAAAAAATTATGTTTAATACTTGATTTTGTGCTATGTACTAAACAGGTATTAAAATATTCTTTATAACCAAATATACAGGTAAACCCTTTAAATTTGATTTGTAAGAATACACCTTTTTACACTGACTAACCAGTACGTTGAAGACACTTAAATTATGGCTAAGACTGGTTAAAAATAATTCTTGTTTTACAAGGGAAATTTTCTTTGTAGAATTCTTTATTTGCATTCATATTCCAATACAAAACGAATACATTCTTATTCTTCATTCTTTAAAATTCAAGATTGCGTTTCCAAACACAGGAAATAATTGTTAACTATGACATGATTTATAAATGTAATTTTTTTGGACGTTTTTATTTGATAAATTTCTTCTTTGGATAATTTAATAGATTTACTAATATTTCAACTCAAAATATTCTGGTCTAGAATAATTAAATAATTCGATGGGTTTTGAATTACACTAGTTTTTGATTGTAAGTTGACAATATATGTGTAGGTATGATATTTTTTTAATCATTTCTTTTGCTTTGTCACAAAGCCTTTGTGTTACATAAGGGCATATTAGTGTACACAATTTCCAATAGCAAATTAAATTTTAAATGTTATATCGGTAGTATTTTTTTTTTTTAGTCTATGACCTGTTGGTCGGTTTGAACAACTCTTGCTCTACTTGAGACAAGGGTTGCCATTCTGGGGAAGTAGTTAAGCGAGTAGTTGTGCGGTAGATTCCTGTTGCGTTCCGCACCAGTCGGTTGGCCATTTCTCTCTCCAGACGGTTGCCCGCCCAGCTCCACGATAACCTTCTTGGCCATGACGCTACGCCACGATCGGTAGTGTGACATAAATAATAATATTGTTTAATGCGTGTAGCTAATATCTCTGCTAAATAATAATAATTAAATTTTGACCAACAGAGTAGCATTGGATACTGAAATTGAGATCAATTAGTTGAAACTTGAGACATTAATATGTCACACAAAGCATAGTTTTTAGGGATGGTTAGCGAATTTTCACATAGTCGATTATCTAAAAAGTAAAAACTGTTTACTATTTTAAATTGTAAATGAATTTGAATGTGACAATTTTTGTAAACACTTTCTTAGCAATTTATTATTTACCTACTATTTATTAAAATAGGCCAAGTAGTATTAATTGATTTTTTAATGTAGTCAATTGCGTAGGCACCCTTGAATCCCCCGTTTTTTCCAATATGAAATACATATTAATGAGACTTAAATGGTTTTTTTTTTCTAGAAAGCAAAAGGATAAGGAAGAATAAAATTATGGATTCTGTGAACAAAGCAAAATTGCGCTTCAAGAAATATCCTGATCTACTATTAGCGTGCCGTGTTGAAGGGATCAAGTATGCTACATGCATCATCCAAAATGAAAAAGATCTTAAATTAGACTCTTGTAAAGATCAGTTTATGTTGTTTCGTCAGTGTTTAATAGCCAATTCATTAAAGCATCGCATCAAAATATAGTCTTGATGTAAACAGAAAAAAAAAAAGAAAAATACCAATAGCTTAGTATAAAAGTAATATAAATTTTATGTGGTAAAATATAGTGTTTGATTTTTTGTAATAAGAACATTGCTAATTGTTTTTGCTCACTGGTTTGTTATTGACGATAATAGTGTACATTATACAGACTTTGATTACAAAGTTTTTACTGATGCAGCGCAACACATGTGGTATGGTGAATCACCTTAGGCTTACATAATAATATACAAGACCAACTTACAGATATACACCACTAATAGCTGCACTTTTAATGCCTAATATATTTTTACATCCTTGTTAAGGAAAGTTATTGTATTCCGTATTCGATTTAGCCATAGCTGCTGTTATATTCCAAATAGTAACAAAATCACATCCTATATATAACGATTGTTGTGCTATACTTGGTTGTACAATCTTTTAAGTATTATAATATAAACTGGAGGAAACAGACTCAATATCATGATATTTTGTTCTTGTGTCGTTAGCACATATTAAAGAGAATTACATGGCTTTCTTTGGTACTTTTTGCTGTCTTTACATGTGAGCATTTACGTATTATATTTGGCTTCTCAATTTATTTATCAATTGAGAATAAGGCCAAGTCAACTCCCGCTTTCAAATAGTCTATAATAGCTTGTTCTCGCTGAAAAAGAGAATTCTGTTTGTATTAGTATTCATCGTATTAGCTCAAATTAGGTAAATTCGTTATGGTGTGTTTTTGTAAGAGGTGTTTTTTATTATAACACAATTGTTTGGCACTTGAAATAATAAGTGTATATAATAAATATAATTATGTTTAATTTGTAGAGGTTGTCAATGTTCTTATCCACTTTAATAGACATAACGGCTCAAAGACAGGCGCGTACGCTTACATGGATAATAACAATATAATTGTTGGATTATGTGGTGTTTTGTTTATAATTTGGCAATAATATTACGTCCAAATGGATAGCTTAAAATTTGAAAAAGAAAAAAATCCACTAGCACATTATGTGTAGGTAAAATTATGACTATGACTTAATTTTTTTTTACATGTAGTTATTGTTTTGTTTTAATTTAAATGAATTATTTTGTTTAAACCTTTTTATGAATCCCATAAAGTGTAAATACTTAGGAAATAGTAATTACAGTAATAGTTTACTTTAATTGGTTTCAATTGATAAGTCGAATGAGAGTGATCTGTAGAGTGAAATAGGTATATCGATCAAGTTATTCCGGTTTACTATTATTTTTTTCATATAATTTTAAAATCTAAGAGTATTAAATATTAATGAATACTAGCTATAGTTTCTGCAGTCTAGTAGTGTGCTGAATAATAGTAATTACATACTAGTACGAAACATTGAGGAGCTAGAATTGGTTTTAGTTTTTACTAAGGTACACAGTAAAGTAATAAATACAAATTTAGTGCTATCAGGCGTGACTTACGTCAACCATACTAGAAATTTTTCCTTTGTACACTTGACGTTTGCATTTTATTATTTACAAAAAAACTGTCTGAAAAAGACCTACCAACGTTTTCCGTGACATAAGAATATAGGGGCCAAAAAAATTCTAAAATATTTGTTTGTGTAAACTGCAATGTTATTTCTGAAATCCAAAATGTAGCGGTAACTTGTAAGTCGTCAGAAATGAAGTTAAATGAGTCCTGAGTTATCAGCTGCTGATTTTGGAATATCCATAGTGATAACAGTAGTTCGCTCTGATAGGCAGTAGTTTGGTAAATTTTTAGTGTGCGGTTTTTAGATTTTCGATGTTGGTCATGCTGATTGAAATGAAAATCAATTGATATTATCATTTGGAAGAACTGTTATCACTTATCAAATTTGGAATAACCACAGAAATTATGGTTTAGGTTATATCCTTGACGTTTTTACTTTTTCTATTGTCTAAACTAGCTTTTGGATATTTTGTTTTATATTTCGCTCAATGGCGGACGAAAAAGTAATTCTTAAAAGTTTCTTGGACACAATAGATACAGACAATTTATGTGGTATAACTCGTTCTATATACCATGGAGGTGGAATTAAAATCAACTCGAGGGAAGGTAATTATGCTGTCTTGAGTGTTCCTAAGCTTTAATAAAACTGTTTTCGAAAAAAATAATTTGTTTAATGATAATATTTCGAAAACACGGCCAATATATTCAGACAATACCTATAGCGATGTACATATTTCATTTGGTTTTCAGAGGCCGAAGCACTGCTTCTCACGCAAGAAAGTTGGCGCATTCTAAGTTGCAAAAAAACATCATTGAAATCTATTTTACTTTTTTTATTTAAACACGGTATAAATGTGCCACCCGATGTAAATAAAATCCAGGCAATAGAATATTTTAAGATGCTCTACAATTCAAATGCGCTACAGGTATGTACTTTTACAGTACAATACTATAATTTGATTGAAAATAAACGGCAACTAGGTTTACATATTTTAGATTTGTGGTTTTGACTTTTACGAGCTATGCACAAACCAATTCGCTTTGAGGGTTAAGAGGCTATTTTGATGTAAGGGACATGAGCTGCATAGAGCTATAAACCTATTATGCTGTGGGCTGTGGCTATGATTCCCAGTTGTATAATATATCCAATAGAAATGTCCATGATACTTAAAAATTTGTGTAATTTTTATGATGTAATCAATTTCCAAATTCACCATAATTATATTTATATTAATATTTAAATATTGCAAATCATTCGATAATTGTCAAATGTATGGGATTTCTGTACATTGTGTAGTACTATAATTTTGTATGTATGTAGATACCATCCTGTACGATTTACAGTACAATTACTATTATACAACACAGCCATAGAATGATATTTTTTATTACGAACAAAATTGTTATCTATTCAAATCGATAGGTGTCCGGTATTGTTTATTGATAACAAAAAAACGGTTTTAATAAATCAAACAGGACAAAAAGACTTAGCTATTCTTGGATTATTGTGATTTTTATTTTATTTTGGGAAGCAAAAATAAAATAAAACTTCTTTGATCAGAGTAACTCATAATTTCATAGGCTTTTATTTTAGACGTGTACAAAAATGTCTGTAAAAGTTATAATGATTGTGTCATATAATTATTTCACTAAAGTAATGGTACCGCCGTAATAAACCCAACTACTTGTTGTGTGGTGAGTTTTGTTAGCGTACATGGGGAAAATTACTTTATTACAAATTGATATGATTATCAGTGCCGAATGTCCCATTGTATGATTATTCGTATTGTTAACTGAATTTCAATTTAATTTAAATTATATGCATACAAAATAAATAGTACTAATGGATTCTCTAGGTATCTAATAACCGCTAGTATTAAGTTTTTAAATTTTATTAATGTGTACAATATTTGTTTATAATATATATTTGTATTGTATTTTAGGTGGCCAATCCGGTTCAACCTGGCATTCTTAAAAACGTAATTGATTTTATAAAATTATTGACATTATTTTTTTCTTAATAATGAGTTATGTAATCATTTGAATTAAGTAAACCTAATAAAATTGTTGTTTCAGATGATGGTACAAGCTCAACCTGCGCCACCAACACAAGATCTCCTTGAAGATTTTATAAAAATGTTTGGCAAACATTTTTATAATCTATTAAATGACAATGCATTAGACGATAGATATTTTTTTGAAAATTCTTCAATGGCTGTAATTATAGCCAGCAACACAGAAGAGATCAAGGAGCAATATCACGATACTGCGTCGGTGATACAAGGCCTGTATAATATAAAGCAACAACATCATATCTTTTTCGCTCCTACATTCGACCAAGTTAAGTGGAAAAAAGAAAGCCATGGGCTTATCAAAGTCCAAATTGGCGGAACGCTCCACCAAGGAGTAGGGCGAATGGTGGGAGTATTTGATCAAGCTTTTGTATTAAGGGAAGATCCTATTGCTCAGAACACATGGAAAATTTTGAGTATAAATTTCTATTTAAAAAGTCTGGTTCAAAGTGGTCCAAGTAATGTATTAAATGGAAATGAAATAAAAAGTATTACTTATTAAAAAACATAATTAGTTTTTCATTGGATCATCAATATGCTTATGGTACCTATATAAGCAGGGCATTTAATAAAGTATAGTCTATTTTTAAGAAACTCGCATCAATGTAACATAGCCTAGCCAACTAAATTGTGTAATGGCGAAATGTAACAATAACGACATCATTGATCTTTCTATCTTTTACTAGTTACATCCTCGAAACCGTTGTGAAGATAGATCGCACCATCAAATTAGTAACATGTTATACCCCTAATAATTTAAACAGATACCAGACACATTAAAATATACACATTATATTGATAATGAGTACTTGTATATAACTTAATTATAGTTATGCAAGTTTTGCAGGATTAAAATATGTTTGTACGCTTACCTATATTATGTGGTTTGACATTACAATATTATGTTTAGTAATATGAAGATATTGTTTGAATAATTATGCATGTTTATGGTATTTATTTGTTTTTTTTTATTATCAATAAACCAACCTACATGGTTCATACACAGTACTTCATTATTTAAAGTAGGTATTTTAATACAGATAATTATTTTTATTAAAAAAACAACAAAACATTAATGAAATAAAATTAGCATTTACTATTGGATTTATTTTTTTGATATTACTTTAAAAAAAAAGTAACAAAACATAAAACAAAAAATTAAGTTTTTATTGATTTAAAAAAATGTGTGATTATTATTTAAGTTTCACAAATCTTAGACAGTATTACAAAAATGAAATGCGCTCTTCCCTGTTTAATGTCAATGAGTAAATTTATTTATATTTACTAGCCTTAATAACATTAAAATATAATGTATAAACTGTTGTGAAATTATGTCGATGATGGTCGGGAAAATTGTGTTGTCAAATTTGCAATACGGTAAAACTATTAAAATCATACAAGTTCATTAGTCATTATACATTTGTAAATTTTATATTTATAAAGCATAATTTTTTTAATTAAAAATTATTTTTATTCAGGTATCACAAAAAAAAAAACAAATCATAATCATAATAAAAAATAATTATAAATTTTCTTTTGCTCTTCTTATATGAGTAATACTAATTATAGCTACATATATTTTATCTTATATTATTATCCAATACATTTTTTTTTGTTTATTGATGATTAAACTTACTATATATATTAAGTATTTTTTTATAGAGCCGTTTAATTATTTTTCAAAACGTTTTAAATTACCCATTTTATAAAATGTAGTGTATTTTGTTTTGTTATTATAACTGAATTCAGAACATGTGTTGATCTTTCAATCAACGTTAAAATGTAGAAGTCACGAAATCCAAAGAATACACATTATACACACAAAAACTCAAGCACTCTATGGCAACATCATCAACGCTTAGACCTTCGATCTAACACAACAAATTTTTTAGCTGTTAATTTTCATGTATTTTTCTACAGTAAAACATTTTATGATTACATTTTTTGTGTGAAATTAAATTTCACAGTTTTGTTGGAAATCAGCTTTTTGGAAACCGCAATTCACAGGTAGGTAACATACTTAATCTGATTTTTTATAACCTAAGCTTTTTATTGTATAAGATTTTACTAACAGTGGAATATTACCAATTTTAGTCTGCTCAGTGAAATTTTAAGAACACAACTTTTATGTATATAATAGGTGAACACTCAAAACAACAAAACGATAACATATTAAACATATTGTAAACATACATGATTAACATAGCTTAAACTGTTATAGAAAAAAAAACATTTTCTTGATAATATTTGTAGTTAGCAGTGTACCTAGCTCTACGGGTACATTATAATATAAATAGTCATACAAATTTTACATAAGTTACTAAATATTATACTATATTTATGTAATTTCAAATAGTACTCATAATATATTAATATATATATTTATGTATTATGTAAACATAATATTATATATTATACACTTCCAATAAACTATAGTAATTAAATAAAAATGTGTTAAAATTAACAATGATTAATTTATATTATATTTATTGTAATACAGTTCATTATTAGATTAAGTTGTAAGAACTTTGTTGTAAACATAAAACAGTGGCGTGGGTATTAAAAGGATGTAAGCAGTGATATTTTTTCAAAAGTCATTAGTAGAGCTCGGAAGTTAATGACCATAAATGTGTTAAAATATGTATTTCTAAATATCAAAATATGCAATAATATGCCTTTATTGAGTTCGACTATAAAAATGTAGCCGACTTGAATATATAAATAATATTTGACATAGGTTAATTAATTAAAAAGGCATTATGCGTATCAGGATAACATTGAATTACTATTATTTTGGTATGTTTTTAAATTTAAAAGAAAAATATTATTATTATAGAAATTTTAGGCAAAATTTATAACCAGAATGTTTTATACCTACTTTTCTCATATGATGTATAATTTTCTTAACCTGGAACATTTTTAATATTTATACCTATAAATAGGCAACTAAATCTAGAAATAATCGTTATAGGCAAATATATGCTCAGAAGTGTCAATAGGCAAATATATGCAATACAAGTTTGCTGATTTGAAATCTATAGATTTAATCTTTTGATATATAGTTTTTTATGAATCAAATTTATATCTTATTTTAGTATAATTCTGATTTCACTGAAAACATATGCAAAGTCATAAACATCTGAGCTTTAGTCATTAGAATATTAATTACAAATTTTGTAAATAACAAATTTCGTTATTTTTATTATTTTTAATGGTTATAACACTATGGGCATGCATATTCTATACATATACAAGGCGATTCTTTTATCATGGGCCACTCAATATCTCGTAGGGTTTAATAAGAAATTACATTTTTTTTTCATATTGTTTTTATACAATGTGATCTTAATTTTTTAAAAAAAATTAGGTTTTTTCCCCGTCCCAACTTAGTTTTCTCGATAGCAACTTGTGAATTTTAAGTGGTAACGCATATATTTCATTAGCTTTTTAAATTGAGAATAATGTAATAAACATTTTTACTGGTGAATAACCAGTTTTGGATAACTAATTTTGAAGTTTCAATTTAGGGTAGGAAGGAAGGTCGAGTGAAGTATTATTTTTATCTGCGCGCACTTCCCCTCCCATCCTAACTTTTAAACTCTTGTAACTTTAAAAATAGTTGTACAAAACCAAATGGTTATCAATCAGTTAAAATGTTTAGTAAATTATTCCCAATTAAAAAGCTAATGAAATATATGCGTTACCATTTAAGTTTGAAAAGTTGCTATCAGAAATCTAAGTTAGGAGGGAGGTAAGAACAAAAAAAAAATATGATAAATGGAGATCACATTATATAAAAACACACAAAATGAAAAGCGTGATAAATAAAGTATAAAAATCACAATTCCATATTTTACAAAAAAAATAAATAAATAAGAAAAGTGATTCATATTGTTGGTGTATAAAAATTTTTGGGCGGGGGATTATAGTCGGCAGCAAACGCCTAAGGACGTATGTTTCAGACGCTAGTAAGAAACAACGACAGGTGAGAAGAATGCGATTTTGACAGTATATTGAGAATAACGCCACATTAACGTTGAATCGGCCGATTCTCGACGGCTTCGCCACAATACGAGTCAACGGTTGAGCCTTATGGCTAGTTTGGTGCTTGCTACCATCGCGCCCCCTGTTCAATAGTGAATAATTTACGCGTATATATACCACGCCAATGTCGCGAAACGAACACATGGTAGTAGCCGTGTTATTTTTGTGTTTCTTTAACAAACCGTAAAACTTGTCTCGAAAAGCAATCGCAATTCGATTAAAACCATTAAAATGCCACACTTGCCGCAAAAAATCGCGATTGATCGTCATCGATTTCATGTGATAAATTTAAAAAACTGTAGTGGTCTCAAACGAGCTCACAGGGAAACCATAAGCAACGAACAGTCGGAGGCGCCGTACAGCCGTATTTGCTTCCATTGCTGTATGCGATTCCACAGACAGTGTAATCAGGTTGTGTGGCGTCCTCTGGCTGACAATATACCCATTACTAAATCACACAAGACTCTGAAATGAGGCGCTGTAGGTAAAATAAAAATGAAATTTCTTGTTAAATCTTATTACATATTGAGTGGCCCATAATAAAAGAATCCTGTATAGCTTATAGTTATTTCCAAATAGTTCACAAAATAAAAAATAATATTAGTAGATAAACTACACACGCTTATCACAAGCCCTAATATAATTTAAACAAAGTAAACTATAAAAACTATAAAAATAGTGGCATAATTTATGTTAGTCAATCAAAAGGGTTTATGTAAATTAAAATCATTACTGTGCAAACATAGTTAGCCAGAACTCTTAATAGTAAAAGACATAAATTAATGTAGATATCTATACGTTATATATTTTCCTGATTAGTCTGGAATATAAATTAATCAAAATAGTTGAATGTGATCAATTCGGGTTCGACGTGACTTAGCAGCAGTTTTTTCATTATGAGTGTAAATAAAAATATATGACCTATGAGAGAAGTCTGCGCAACTTAACCTACTTTAAAAGAGTTATCCTTCTCATATTTTCACGTTAAGATTAAAATAATTTTGTGTCAGAAGGACTTAGAGATGGCAATTTTAATTTGATTTGACAACTTCGTCAAAAAGCAATACATTGTATTAAAGATATCTTTAATCCACTTATTTTCTTGGCAAATAATTATAATTTTATACTACTTTTTAATCAATGATTTTCGGATTTCTTATGTTGCCTTCCCAGTGTAATATTATTTTCAATTTGACACATTAACACTGAAAATACATTTTTTAAAAGAGATTAATTTGGCCATCATATTTTAAAATAAAGGTTTTATTTATTTAAATAGGCAGATAACGATCAGTGGTTATTAGTGATTGATTAGTGGTTAATGTGGTTTTATAGCGTGCTACAAACATTGGTAATTCAATTTTATCAGGGTACATTTTTACAATTTTAGGTCAGTTAATTATATTAAACAAAAAATCTAGCTCTATCAACTTTTAAAACTTAAATGGTAAATTATATAATTAAATGTTATTTTCTTACTAAATGAATAATAAAATTTTATCTGCGTAACGTTGTATTCCATTTATTTATTTATTGTATTTTTAAACGGGTAGTGCTCAATTACAAATATGAGAAGAATAGAAAAGTGTATACAAACATAGAATTTACACAAACATTAAATTATAATCTGAAAATAATGAGAAACGAAAAAGCCAACCCAATACTACCCTCTTTGCTTGTATAAACGCAAAAAGAAAATATGTCGGATGTCTTTGAAATATGGACGTTATAATATTCAAAGGAAATTTGCAACAATCCATGGCAGTGCGTAGGACTATCGACCATTTTTTCTGACCATTCAGTTTTATATGTACTTCTGAGATCAAATTTTTTTTTTCGTAGTTCGGCGTTATTAAATCGTAAACATTTTATCGGATCTCCACAGTCAAATATATTTAATAACAGGTAACAATAGATATTAAATATTTCTACTATACAACACCACTAACATTGTG